CTTGCCAGACCACACACACAGTGACACACCACACACATCAGAGACGCACACCACCCACACACAGTGAAACACACCGCATTACCACACATACTTGCCACACCACACACACAGTGCCACACCACACACATCAGAGACACACACCACCCACACACAGTGACACAACACACTACCACACACATTACACCGTGACACACACCACACTACCACACACACATGCCACACAGTGACACACACCACACTACCACACACACATGCCACACACAGTGACACACCATACATACCACACACATCACACAGTGACACACCACCCACACACCACCCACACACACAGTGACACACACTCACAGTGACATACCATACACCACCCACATAGTGACACACACACAGGATTCTTGACATGGTCAATAGCTTCTGAAATGACAGAACTATGGTAAGGAATGTGAAAAAACTCCCCTGTCCATTGTCCAACTGCACAGCAAAGGGGTGAATGTTACCTGGGCTGGGCAGACTTTCAAATGTCTCTGGCAGGCCAGGGAACATTTAAAACACACAGGCCGCTCCCTCAGTCTCACTGGGTGTGATGCACTTTTAAATCATCCGGATTGACAACTCATTTCTGTAGAACTGCAGAGTAGTAGAGTATATAGTGTAGTGTTTTGTAGTGTACGGTAGTGTATAATGGTGGTGTGTAGTAGTGTAGTGTATAATGGTGTAGTGCATTGTATAGTGTAGTATACAGTGTATAGTAGTATAGTGTATAGTAGTGTATAGTGGTGTGGTATATAGTAGTGTAATGTACAGTGTAGTGTATAGTAGCATATAGTGTAGTATACAGTGTATAGTAGTATAGTGGTGTGGTATATAGTAGTGTAATGTACAGTGTAGTGTATAGTAGCGTATATTGGTGTAGTGTATAGTGGTGTATAGTAGTATAGTAATGCAGTGTAGTGTATAGTAGCATATATTGGTGTAGTCTATAGTGGTGTATAGTAGTATAGTAATGTACTAGCAAGAAGTACCCGGCTTTTACCCGGGGGTAAAAACATCGATCCTTCCTGATGTTGGTCAGGGTATGAGCAGATACCAAGGATTTCAGTGGTCAACAAAAAAAAAATTCTGGCCTGGACTTTTGCAGCTGTTTTAGACTAATTTCAGGGTGCCGATTCCAAATCTGATCTCAGATTTGCTCTATCACATCTCATTTTTATGCTATCGGCATACCCCATTTTCATTGATTTTACCCGAAATTAACTCTTGTCACTTATGATTGCAAGTTGTTGCGAGTCGGTGACTGCTTTAGTGTTAAAATACGGTGCTGTATTTTTAGGATAGTGTGTTTATAATATCATTTTATGTAGATATCCACATTTATTTAATATTTTTCTTCTGCAGTTTTTATTGAAAATGCAATATTTGATATCTCAAAAACGTGACGTGATAGACAAAAACTGATGCCAGATTTGAAATCAGCACCCAAAAATTACCTCAACACCATTGGAATACCTTGTGCCAGAAAAAGTGCGTTGACCAGTGTTATTTAATAAACAGGTCCCTGCGGGGTGGGCTGGTAGGAACGAACAAATGAATGGCTATAATAAAATGAAATGGCAAACAATGGACGACGGGGGGGTAGGGAGTTTATTTGAATGTAAAAGCTTTAAATTTAAAAGTTTCTATTTAAAAACATCAGGGAATGTAACATTGTTAAACATTAACTCCCTTTCACACACGCGGGGGTACGATACGAAGGGAGAGTTTGAGGCCTAGTTCTAGGCTTTAGGCCTAGCTGTAGGCTTTAGGCCGCTGTGAGTTAATTTTTTATTTAAATGTTTTAATTAAAAACTATCTCAGGGAATTATAAGGGAATGTTACACTTGTTTAGCCAGGAAAGCCTCACTGAGTCTAAAGGTTTTTGTAGGGTCCTGTCAAGTGTTTGCAGTAGGGGGCGATGTTGCTACACCTAATCGGACATCGGACGGACGGACGATATAATCTATTGTAGGCTGGTTCACTTCGTTCCTATATAATTATAATCCGATCTCTGGTTGGTAAGCTAAAGCTGCTGTTCCAGTCTGGGTTGTTTCTTCTTGCTGCAGCTGCGTGACGGACTTGCCTCTAAGGCACCGTTTTTTTATGTTGAGGTTCCTCAGCCCGTGCTGCTGCATTGACTGTGCAGTCTTTGGCTTGTCTCCACGCACGCTGTTCAGGATTTTCCTCAGCCCGTCCTTCTACAGCAGTCACTTTGCCAGTCTCTGAATTGTCTCCATGCACGCTGATCTAGAGTATCATCAACGACCTATAGAATTACTTTGATAGGTTAGTGTGGTGTATGTACGTCGCATCTCTTTCGCACCGTACGTAGCCAACTGGGCAAATCGGAGGTGCCCTTAAAGAAACCTTATCTTTAGGGAGGTGGTGGGCAAAAGTCAGCGAGGCCCTAAAAGCGTTATCTGTGCGGGTTTATATAAAGGACACACACAGACAAAGATCCCCCCTATAGCCTTTAACAGACGGCTGGGGCAAGTGCTGTTAGCGTGTAACAGCGCCGGCACGGCACACGAGGCGGTGGGTGGCCAGCACCACGCCCAGCCGCCTTTGTCTCCCCAGTGGCAATGTTTACCATGCACCGCACCCAGGCAATAATTTGAGGCTGAGTCGACCTAGGGGAGGCCCAGGACAGACACACACACAACCGCCATTCGCCACTAAGTGGTGGTGACGTCACCACGACGCTTGTGCCAGGCCATGTGCACCTTGAGGCCACGTGAAGTGTCGAACGCCCGCTGGCAGGTGGTCACGGGGCAGACCCAGCAGGTGCCACCGGTCGACTGAGATGACTGGGTAATGCACCACCTGTGCCCCCTACTGTGCCAACTTGCTGTGCTTTAGCCACCCGGCGCTCCGCTCGTTATTGTGAGCGTCGCTCCTCCGCCCCCCGTTGTTGTTGGAGGGCGACTGCCTCCAACTGCCCTGTAGCGTCCTTCACGAGCCTCCTCCACTGAGGCCGATCTTGACACCGCTGGTACCGCTCCCCATACATATACACAAAGATCCCCCGTATAGCCTTAACAGACTGTAGGGGCAAGTGTTGTTAGCGAGCACCTATGAAGGCCGGAACGGCACACGAGGGGGTGGGTGGCCAGCACCACGCCCGACCACCTTTGTCTCCCTAGTGGTGATGTTTACACACCGCACCAGGTACTCATTTGAGGCCCAGGACCGGTTCAGATAATCGTCACCGGTGTTGGCCGTGAGCGGGAATCGAACCCGGGTCGCCAGGTTCGTAGCGCAGCGCGCTAACCGCTACACTACCGCTCCCCACTATACACACACACAGAACCACACACACACAGCTGCTCACACAGCTACACACACAGCTACACACAAAGACACACACAGCTTGCACACACTATCAGCGTTGTACGATGTTCGAGCGCGGATGAAAGGTGCGATTGTCAGTTTCCTTTATGACTTGTGGGAATTTTTTGGGGCAACAAAATTCATCTGAACTTAGAGCCTCAATAGAGACCTGTTTAGAATGAGAGGCTCATATAGAACCAGAGTCCCAGAGACTCGAATAGCACCAGAGACCCATATAGAACCAGAGACTCGAATAGAACCAGACCCATATAGAATCAGAGACCCGTATAGAACCAGAGACCCAGAGACTCCAATAGCACCAGAGACCCATATAGAACCAGAGACCCAGAGACTCGAATAGCACCAGACCCATATAGAATCAGACTCGTATAGAACCTGAAACACAGATAGAACCAGCGGCCCACACAGACACGGAGATTAACTTAGAACCAGAGACCGACAGAAACTCCTATAGAACCAGATACTCACAGAGACCCACATAGAACCAGACAGACCCCATAGAGACACAAAGACCCATATAAACTCCTATAGAACCAGAGACCCACAGAGACCCAAATACCCATATAAACTCTTATAGAACCAGAGACCCACAGAGACCCCATAGACCCACAGAGATCCCATAGAGACCCACAGAGACCCCATAGAGACACAAAGACCCATAACAGGTCCCTGCGGGGTGGGCTGGTAGGAACGAATAACCAAAGAATATAAACATAATGTATTATTACACTTGTTTAGCCAGGAAAGCCTCACTGAGGGTAAAGGTTTTTGTAGGGTCCTGCCAAGTGTTTGCAGTAGGGGGCGATGTTGCTACACTTAATCGGACGATACGAATGGAGAGTTTGAGGCCTAGTTCTAGGCTTTAGGCGTAGCTGTAGGCTTTAGGCCGCTGTGAGTTAATTTTTAATTTAAATGTTTTAATTAATAATGTAAAAGCTTTAAATGTTTCTATTTAAAAACATCAGGGAATGTAACATTGTTAAACATTAACTCCCTTCACACACGCGGGGGTACGATACGAAGGGAGAGTTTGAGGCCTAGTTCTAGGCTTTAGGCCTAGCTGTAGGCTTTAGGCCGCTGTGAGTTAATTTTTTATTTAAATGTTTTAATTATTAATGTAAAAGCTTTAAATGTAAATGTTTCTATTTAAAAAAAACATCAGGGAATGTAACATTGTTAAACATTAGCTCCCTTTCACACACGCGGGGGTACGATACGAAGGGAGAGTTTGAGGCCTAGTTCTAGGCTTTAGGCCTAGCTGTAGGCTTTAGGCCGCTGTGAGTTTTTTTTTTTAAATGTTTTAATTATAAAAGCTATCTCAGGGAATTATAAGGGAATGTTACACTTGTTTAGCCAGGAAAGCGTCACTGAGTCTAAAGGTTTTTGTAGGGTCCTGCCAAGTGTTTGCAGTAGGGGGCGATGTTGCTACACGGACGGACGGACGATATAATCTATTGTAGGCTGGTTCACTTCGTTCCTACCAGTATAAACTCTTATAGAACCAGACACCCACAGATACCCACAGAGACCCACACAGAGACCCACATAGAACCAGACAGACCCCACAGAGACCAAGCAGCAGCAGCAGAAGGCATCAGAATCTTTATTGAGACTGCAGGCAGAGGAAATCCGAAGAGCTATCAAGCTCTTTTGCATGACACATTTCAAGTAAGGGGGTCACGCACGGCGGGGGTGTTCAGAACGTGACTCAAAACATCGGCGCATCAACAAAGCGTTGCGCTAACGAGCTACAACTTCAACAACAACCGCCGTTCACCACTCGGTGGCGGCGAAAGGCACCACGGCGCTCGTGCCAGGCTAGGTGCACGTTAGAAGCACTCACGTGAAGTGGCAGGTCACGGGACAGACGATGCAGCAGAGGTCGAAATCGGGTACCCGATACCCGGCTACCCGTACCCGGCCGGGTACCCGTTTGCGACCCTGGTGCGGCCGGGTACGGGTAAGGAATCAAAACCCGTTTGCGACCTCTGCGATGCAGGTGCCATGGGTTGTACTGCTGCTGTGCCAGGCTAGGTGCAGGTGGAGGTCATGTGACAGACCCTGCAGGTGCCATGGGTTGACTGCAGCTGTGCCAGGCTAGGTGCAGGAAGAGGTCACGTGACAGACCCTGCAGGTGCCATGGGTTGACTGCTGTGCCAGGCTAGGTGCAGGAGGAGGTCACGTGACAGACCCTGCAGGTGCCATGGGTTGTACTACTGCTGTGCCAGGCTAGGGGCAGGAGGAGGAGGTCACGTGAAGTGTCGAACGCCCGCTGGCAGGAGGTCACGGGGCAGACCCAGCAGGTGCCACGGGTCGACTGACTGAGATGACTGCTGTGCTTTAGCCACCCGGCGCTCGCACACCACATACTCACACGCTCACACACTCACATGCCCGCCCCCACACACGCACCGGCACGCACCCATCCGCATGTACACAGCCGCACCCATTCTCACGCATATCCAGATACTCACACACCTACGCACCCGCACTCCCACACACTCACATACTCGCACGCTCACACACACACTCACACACACGCCCGCACGTTCGCACGCACTCACGCGTACACACGCACGCACACACCCACACACCCGCACGCCCGCACTCCCACACACTCACATGCTCACACGCACTCACGTGTACACACCCACGCACACATACACACGCACACACTCACACGCACTCACATGCTCACACGCTCACACATGCCCCCACGCACGCACCCGCACGTATCCATCCACATGTACTCACGCACTCACGCATACACACTCACACACACCCAAGCACATACACACTCACACACACTCACATGCTCACATGCTCACACGCACTCACGCGTACCCACGCACATACACACTCACACACACACGGACGCTCAGGTAGATTCCTCGACTCCACCGATGATGATCTCCCCCCTCCCCCCGGCTTGCGCGTCTTCCCCCTCAGTATCCAAACAGCTTCAGCGGCAGCTTGAGGAGTCTGCAAGAGAAGACGCCGGGAGGTTTGGGAGTCAGCGTCTGATGCAGATCGGGATGCGCTAGCAGCAAGCAGCAGCATGAAAAGATCGACACAAACTTAGAAACAGCAGCGTCAACATCGTCGTGATGATGACGATTGTCTCCACTCGTAGCGCTGCATAGCTCAGCTTAGTTTGGTCTGTGGGTCTCTCTGTGTCTCTGTGTATATCTGTGTGTCTCTGTGTATATCTGTGGGTCTCTGTGTGTCTCTGTGTATATCTGTGGGTCTGTGTTTGTCTGTGGATCTATCTACATGGAGTTGCGCATGCAACATTGAGTTCATCTTCTTGGTTCTTTCGGTAAAGTCATCACGTAGAAGGGAAATAATAAAATAATAAAAATAAAACATAATAAAATACAATTCTCACGACGTTTCGGCCACAACGCAAGCAGCCGTCCTCAGGTGAAGAACAGGTCTGTCGGAAAGACAGCGTCTAAATGAAACACCACCAGGCTTGGCAGCGTATATTTAAGCTGCTGCGTTGGAGGGGGAAGGGCGCCTTGACAAAGGAATTTGGTGGTGCTCATTCAGACGCTGTCTTCCCGACAGACCTGGTCTTCACCTGAGGACGGCTGCTTGCGTTGTGGCCGAAACGTCGTGAGAATTATTTAATGTTTTATTTTTATTATTTTATTATTTCCCTTCTACGTGACGACTTTACCGAAAGAACCAAGAAGATGAATCCCTGCAGTCACGAAAGCTTTAAATCGAAATTCAACATGGAGTTGCGCAAGCAACATTGAGTTGTGCGAGCAACATTGAGTTGCGCGTGCAACATTGAGTTGCGCGTGCAACATGGAGTTGCACGAGCAAACCGCCACCTAATTAACGAGAGAAACAGGGTGCAATCGAGGTCGAGCGGGTGCATGGAATGCGACCAGAGATTGCTGCCAAAGAGGTTGATTGATGGGCCAACTGGCGACGGCTTGTCGGCAGCTTGAGCGGAAGCACTCGAGGCCTCGGGATAAGCGGGGAGATGCAAGCTGGGGCGTGTGCGAGCTCAGGGTTAGTCGCTGAGTGAAGACATCTCGCCGCGGCCGCTCCAGGGCAGAGGTCGCAACCGGGTACCCGATACCCGTACCCTACCCGATACCCGGCTACCCGTACCCAGCCGGGTACGGGTTGCCGTTTGCGACCCTGGTGCGGCCGGGTACGGGTAGGTCATGAGTCACTGGTGAGTAACCGTTTGTCACTCATTTCCCAACGTCTTGTCTCTTCTCACAATTCAAATTCCTAGAATCAACCCACCCGCGCCTGCAACATGGCTTCATCCCAGAGGTCGCAATCAGGTACCCGTACCCTACCCGATACCCGGCCGGGTACGGGTAGGGTACGGCCGGGTACGGGTACCCGTTTGCGACCCTGGTGCGGCCGGGTACGGGTCGTCATCTTACTTGCAGCATCACGTTGCCGTCCACTCATTGATATGCGAATTTTTTCTCTGCCCCCTCCCTCTCTCCACCCCCGCCTCTATATTTAAGGCCCCGTCACAGAAACGACCTCTCTCTTTGTGCCGATACGTGTCCTCTCTCTTGTGTGTCCTTGTGATGTCTGTCTGCTTGTATGTCTGTCTATAGTTTTCTAGTTAGATTTTTGTTGCTATTTCTTTTATGCCTGACGATGATTGCTTGTGTTGCAATCGAAACGTCGTAATATGCTATTATTTAATTTATTATTTTATCTTTAGACGTGACTTAACCGAAAGAACCAAAGAATAATTCCTGCAGTCACGAAAGCTCCAAAATTAAGATTGAATCAAAACCCGTTTGCGACCTCTGCTCCAGGGACAGCGGTGGAGATGTAGAATTGCTGTGTGCAAAGCCTCTGTGTGGAGAAGCTGCTGATAGCTGAGCTGCTATGTGCAGGTTAGGTGAGGTGTAACGTAGATAAGAGTGGGGAACAGGTTAGCAAGAAAAGTGACCGTTTAGATAGCGATGGGAGTGCCTACAACTGGTGCAGAAATGGGTTAATAAAGTGTAAGCATAATCTTGGTTCTTTCGGTAAACAATAAAATTCTCACGACGTTTCGATTGCAACACAAGCAATCAGCATCACACCCGATCACACCTGATGATGATTGATTGTGTTGCAATCGAAACGTCGTGAGAATTGTATTGTATTATTTTATTATTTAACCTTCTACGTGACTTTACCAAAAGAACCAAGAATATGAATCCCTGCAGTCGCGAAAACTTCAAATCGAAAAAAGTGTAAGCAGGCGACTTGTTACAACGTGTCAGAGTGATTAACAAGATACTACACACACACACACGTACAGTATTTGGCTGCTGCTATGTCCACACCATGACATCAGCCACTACTAAAACTAAACTTTGTTTTATACTGGTAGGAACCTCCTGGTTACACCAGCCCACAGGGGATTATTGTGTCCGTCCATCGTGCATCCAAAAATGTGAGGGGTGGGGCTGGGTGGAGAGGGGAGGGTGGGGAGGGGCTGGGTGGAGAGTGGCTGGGTGGAGAGGGTGGGGAGGGGCTGGGTGCGGAGAGGAGGGTGGGGAGCGGCTGGGTGGTTAGGGTGGGGAGGGGCTGGGTGGGGAGGGAGGGGCTGGGTGGGGAGGGGCTGGGTGGGGAGGGGCTGGGTGGGGAGGGAGGGGCTGGGTGGGGGGTGGGAGGGGTGGGGCTGGGTGGGGAGGGGCTGGTCACCCCGTGGTGCCCTTATAAAACTCAACGTTTAACCTACTCACGCCGGCTTGTGCCCGCCCTCACAGTCGGAAATATTTGCGGAATACACTACGCCCTGGCCTATGACCCTGCAGGCCATTGACCGAGCAACCCAACGTTCCTACCAGCTCCCTCCGCAGTAGGAATGTATTATTTGTACCAGTTGTAAAGCCTCACTGAGCATCTGTGTAGGTCTTTATCAGAAGCAGCCACCTGGCCATCAACACTCAATGTTAGCAGCTCAATCGAGTGGCTGATATCATCATCACGTGGACATTCATAGCAGTAACCAAATACTTTGAACGCGTAGAGGTACCTAGAGACCCTTAAGAGACACGTAGAGATACTGTACATTGAGTTGGCATGGAGATACATAGAGACCCAGAGAGACAGACCCATAGATATACATAGACACATAGAGACCCACAGAGATACCTTGGTTCATTCGGTAAAGTCACGTAGAAGGGAAAAAATAAAATAATAAAAAGAAAACATAATAAAATACAATTCTCACGACGTTTCGGCCACAACGCAAGCAGCCGTCCTCGGGTGAAGAACAGGTCTGTCGGAAAGACAGCGTCTTTACCGAAAGAACCAAAGAATATGAATTATTGCAGTCACGAAAGTTTTAAGTAAAAAAAAATCACCAACATCCTTACCCAAAGATGGCTCTGGCCAATCTTCCTCGCTGGCTTACGGCTGTCAGATCACCATCATCATCACCATTATCATCATCACATCATCATCACCATCATCAGCACCATCACCATCATCGTCATCACCAGCATCATCACTAGCACCAGCACCATCACTAGCACCATCACCAGCATCATCATCACCGTCATCACTAGCATCATCACTATCACCAGCACCATCATCATCACCATCACTAGCACCATCACCATCACCAGCATCATCATCACCATCATCATCAGCACCATCATCATCACAATCATCACCATCATCATCACCATCATCATCACCATCATCATCAGCACCATCATCATCAGCACCATCATCATCACCATCATCACCATCATCACCACCATCATCACCATCATCAGCACCATCACCATCATCATCAGCACCATCATCACCATCACCAGCATCATCACCATCATCATCACCATCATCATCAGCACCATCATCATCAGCACCATCATCATCACCATCATCACCATCATCACCACCATCATCACCATCATCAGCACCATCACCATCATCATCAGCACCATCATCACCATCACCAGCATCATCACCATCATCACCACCACCATCACCAGCACCGTCATCACCAGCACCACCACCACCATCATTGTTATCACCATCACCAAGACCATGACCACCATCACCACCATCATTGTTGTTATCATCATCACCATAATCCTTACCCAAAAATGGCTCTGGCCCATCTTCCTAGCTGGCTTACGGCTTTAAGATCATCACCACCATCAACACCATCAACACCATCCTTGGCTGGTTCCGTGACAATCTCGGAGCGTGCGTGCCATCCGTCCCTGTCACTGCGTTGAGTGGAGATTGCAGCAGCAGCAGTGGCCTCGCCATCTGCTAACACAGATAGCCATGAACATGTTTTTTGGTTCATAGATGTTCCAGTCGGGGTGGGGTCAGAGTTCAGAATATGTATACACTCACCCACTCAACTCACCCAGACACTCATTCACTCAACTCACCCACACACTCACACACTCACTCATCCACACACTCACTCACCCACACACTCACCCACTCACTCACCCACACACTTACCCACACACTTACTCACCCACTCACTCACTCACACTCACCCACACACTCACCCACTCACTCAGCCACCTCTCACACTCACTGAGCCGCACACTCACTCGGCCGCACACTCACCCACACACTCACCCACACACTCACCCACACACTCACTCACCCACACTCAACTCACCCACACTCAACTCACCCACACACTCACACACACAATTACTCACCCACTCAGCCACCTCTCACACTCACCCAGCCGCACACTCACTCGGCCGCACACTCACTCGGCCGCACACTCACCCATACACTCACACACACACTCACCCACACACTTACTCACCCACTCACTCAGCCACCTCTCACACTCACCCAGCCGCACACCTCCGATTAGCAAGGATGGCTCTGTACGGTGCCAAATAAGTTCAACATACACAATCTACTATACACTACTATGCACTACAAACTACAATGCACTACACTACTGTAGTAGGCTCAATGAGACGTGGACTACGTAGTTGGAGGCACACTTATTTATTATAACGTTTCACTCAGCACAGGCCGATGTATACAACACTCGAAGGGGTAACGGCCCCATCACCCGTCTAACAGGGAGATCCACTGTCTCTAACCCGGCTAGCCTACTCCCAGGCCCTCCACTACAGAGCTAGGGGAGGCTAGCTGATCCAGCTCTGGCCAAGCTGGGATCACGGCACCCTTAGTCACCAGACCGGCTCTTAGAAGAGCATCGGCTCTGGGCTCTCGGGGCCACGCCGCTGGCTTGCCCTGGTCGGTCCTTAGAAGGACAGCGATCCAGGGGAGTCCCAGGGCCTATCTAGCCGGTCTTCACTCTTCACTGTTTTAATCTGTCTTAGATTTGAAGCTTTCGTGACTGCAGGGATTCATCTTCTTGGTTCTTTCGGTAAAGTCATCACGTAGAAGGGAAATAATTAAATAATAAAAATAAAACTATTTCCCTTCTACGTGACTTTACCGAAAGAACCAAGAATACATACTGTTTAATATTTAATTAATATTTAATTGTATTATTTAATATCAATTAAATAGCAATTAAATATTACATATATTATTAAATATGTAATTAATATTAAATACATATTATTTAATTTATTCTCTTTCTACGTGATGACTTTACCGAAAGAACCAAGAAGATGAATCCCTGCAGTCACGAAAGTTTTAAATCGAAAAATGGTTTAAGCTAAACACTGAACACCGAGCCCACCGGCTCACCGCCTTGTATAGCAACTCCCCCCCCGAGAGGTGGGGCCGTGGGGGATCACAGCACCCTTACAGCCCCCCAGGGCTAACCGATGCGGACGTGGATGTAAGCATCCTTCCGCGTGCGGGCACAACCACCCCTGGTGTGTTTGTTTGCCCTCCCGTAACACCCCTACACTACTATACACTACACCGTACCTACTGACGCTCACTCACTCACCGTGTGCGAATGTCTCCTGTCCACTCCTCCTCGCGCTCCCTGTGGAGTGGAGTTCCGAGGCTCGTGACGAGTCACTCTCCTGCTGAGGAAGGGGGGGAACGGACGCAGTGATGGAATCTTCAGGATCAGTGTGTAGACTGCGAGGTGGAGGAATCCAGAGAGCTATAAAGCTCTTTGTTCACAGATGGGCCGGTAGGGGTCACAGGATGAGAACGTTACGTACGTAGGTGGCTAATCAGAGGTGTGTGGGTCAGTGGGTGGGTGGGTGGGTGAATGGGTTGGTGAATGGGTTGGTGGGTGAATGGGTTGGTGGGTGAATGGGTGGGTGAATGGGTGGGTGGGTGAATGAGTGGGTGAATAAGTGGGTGGGTGGGTGAATGAATGAGTGGGTGGGTGAATGGGTGGGTGGGTGGGTGAGTGGGTGAATGAGTGGGTGGGTGAATGGGTGGGTGGGTGAATGAGTGGGTGGGTGGGTGAATTGGTGGGTGGATGAGTGGGTGGGTGGGTGAATGAGTGGGTGGGTGAATTGGTGGGTGGGTGGATGAGTGGGTGGGTGGGTGAATGAGTGGGTGGGTGGGTGAATGAGTGGGTGGGTGGGTGAGTGAATGAGTGGGTGGGTGGGTGAATGAGTGGGTGGGTGGGTGGGTGAATGAGTGGGTGGGTGGGTGAATGAGTGGGTGGTTGAATGGGTTGGTGGGTGAATGGGTGGGTGGGTGAATAAGTGGGTGAATGGGTGAATGGGTGGGTGAATGAGTGGATGAATGGGTGAATGGGAGGGTGAATGGGTGGGTGGGTGAATGAGTGGGTGGGTGAATGGGTGAGTGAATGGGTGGATGAATGGGTGGGTGAATGGGTGGGTGTGTGAATGACTGAATGGGTGGGTTGGTGTACGTTGCCAATCGCGCCAAATCAGAGGTGCGAGGGGGAAGGACAACAGACTACAACCACAACAACAACAAGCGGCAGTTCTAAAGAAACGAGTTTCAAGCTGGATTGGAAAGTGCACAACACACTTTATGCGGCTGGACAGGCGTGGTGCTGGCCACTCACCCCCTCTGTGTGTGTGTGCCACAAGTGGTGGTAGCCTTCATAGGCGCGGCTATTCACTAACAGCACTTTCCCCTGCAGTCTGTTGGAGTCTTTACATGGGAGATCTTTGTATTTTTTGCATGTGTATCTGTGTGTGTATTTATGTGTTTGTATCTCTGTATGTGTATATGTATTTGTGTATGTATCTCTGTGTCTCTCTCTGTATCTGTGCATCTCTGTATGTACCTCTCTGTATCTCCGTGTGTATCTGTGTATTTGTATGTATCTCTGTGTATTTGTATGTATCTCTGTGTATGTGTCTTTGTATGGGCGGTGGTCATTCCGTCCCTGGTGCTGTAACTCGCTACTCAGTAACAGCTTGTTAAGAGGCATGAGATGGGGGGGGATGTTTGTCCTTTGTGAACACAGCGTGAAGGGGAAATCCTGGTGGGGCTAGTCACGAGTGTGGTTTCACTACCAACAAAATACACCATTGTGTGATGTGTGGGGAACTTCAGAAATGGATGCCTCTTGTTTGTAAGAGAGAGCGGTAGTGTAGACATATGCTGCCTTATAAAGGGCAGCGTACTTCAATAGGGATTACCGTTTGTACGGCTATTTTAATACACACAATAAACAGGAAGGACAACATCAAAGGGCTCGCATCATGCACACGCATAATGTACGTTGACTCAGTAATCTCCCCGCCCTCCACTTTGCGCAAGAGCGTAGAATCGTGGTCACCATATCTACGCCTCGATAAAAGGAACGAAACAGTAAGAGACTTCTCTACAAATCTGGCTGTCGCCTGATGAAGCTGGTTGTAAATACTGGCGAAACGTCATGCTCAGATTGTTAACGTTGTGGCTTTGCTCTCCAACATACTGGTGTGATGTATTAGTATACTACACTACTATACACTACTATACACTACACTATACACTACACTACTATACACTACTACTATACACTACTATACATCACACTACACTATACACTACTATACACTACACTACTATACACTACACTATACACTACATTATACACTACATTATACACTACACTAGTGCTGTACTAGTGACGAATTGGCACGTTCTGTTCATGTGACAACCCTTACTAGTTGGCTGTGTCGGGTGGTGACGGGTTGTTTCCTGACCTGGTGGTTTTCACCGCCACCATCGCCACCACCGCCACCATCACCACCACCTTCAACGCTGCCTTAACATCTCCTAGCCACCGTGGCACCCATCGTCATCATCATTGCTCCTCCGTTTGAATTCACGTTGCTTACCACTTTCACGTGGCTGATGGTGAAGGTTGTACCAACCGTTAAAGCTCTGCCATTGTCATCATCTTCGTCATCATGTTCATCACTCCTCCTTCGTTTCATTTCACGTTGCATCTCCTCGTCATCCTCCTCCTCCTCATCCTCATCATCATCAGACTCCTCTTCAAGACAGTCTGTCTCCTGAAGCAAAACGCAGAACGAACTTAATAAATTATCGACGTACGTGTGTGTGTGTGTACGTTGAACATCTTTGGTGCATGTTCGTAGCCAACTGTGCTAACCGCAGGTATGTGGATGAGTGTGTGGGTGAGTGGCTGAGTGACTATGTGGATGGATGGGTAGGTGAGTGTGTGAGTAGGTGGGTGAGTGAGTAGGTGGATGAATGGGTGAGTGTGTGAGAAGGTGGGTGAGTGGGTGAGTGAGTAGGTGGATGAATGGGTGGGTGAGTGTGTGAGAAGGTGAGTGAGTGAGAAGGTGGGTGAGTGGGTGAGTGAGTGTGTGGGTGAGTGGCTGAGTGACTATGTGGATGGATGGGTGGGTGAGTGTGTGAGTAGGTGGGTGAGTGGGTGAGTGAGTAGGTGAGTGAGTGGGTGGTTAAGTGGGTGGGTGGATATGTCTTGAACTTCTTTGGCACCATACTTAGCCAAACGTGCTAACCGGAGGTGTAGGTGGTAATAACAATAAACTAACCACAACAACAAACAGTTCTAGATAAATTAGTTTGTCAGTCCTAGATGATGATTTAAAAGTGCATCATAGCTCCCCAGCGGTTTCCTAAAATCTAATGGGAAGAGCGTTCCAGACGGTAACATCATTAACATCACCGCCACCATCATCATCATCATCATCACCACCACCACTATCATGTACGTACAATTAACTTCTTTTGCACTGTACATAAGCCAACCGCAGAAATTTGAGGTGCCGGGGAAGGACAACAAGCTAAACACAAAACAGTTGTAAATAGAAGGGAAGTAATAAAATAATAAAAATAAAACATAATAAAATAATTCTCACGACGTTTCGGCCACAACGCAAGCAGCCGTCCTCAGGTGAAGAACAGGTCTGTCGGAAATACTACACACTGCACTGCACTACACCACTATACACGATACGCAACACCGCACACACACACTACACACACGTCTGCATTAACCACACATTGTGGTATAAAATTCCCCCCCCCCCCCCACGATAATGTGTAACAGCTCCAACCCCGAGCTATGTCATGCTGCCTTTGATGTTTGCGCTGGTTAAAAATTCTTTTAAAAAATTACCGATCTGTCAATTTGGCAATTCCAATTCGAAAAGGCGGAGATGGGCGAGAAAGCGTGGGAGGGGAAGCCAAGACCACACCAACTACAACCGCCATTCGCCACCAAGTGGCGGTGACATCCTCACGGCGCCTGTGCCAGGCTAGGTGCACGTTAGGGCCATGTGAAGTGTCGAACGCCCGCTGGCACGAGATCACGGGACAGACCCTACAGGTGCCCATAGGTTGTGCCAGGCTAGGTGCACGAGGAGGTCACGGGACAGACCATGCAGGTGCCATGGTTTCTACTGCTGTGTCAGGCTCGGTGCACGAGGAGGTCACGGGACAGACCCTGCAGGTGCCATGGGTCAACTAAGATGCATCACCTGTGCTCCTTGCTGTGCCAACTTTGCTGTTTTTAAAGCCACCCGGCGCCCCGCTCGTTGTCACGAGGGAAGTCACAAAAAACAAAGATCCCCCGTATAGCCTTAACAGACTGTCGTGGCAAGTGCTGTTAATGAGTTGCAGCGCCTATGATGGCTGGCAATGCGGCACACGAGGTCGCAACCGGGTACCCGATACCCGTACCCTACCCGATACCCGGCTACCCGAACCCGGCCGGGTACAGGTACCCGTTTGCGACCCTGGTGCGGCCGGGTACGGGTAGGCCGTGAGTCACTGGTGAGTAACCGTTTGTCACTCATTTCCCAACGTCTTGTCTCTTCTCACAATTCAAGTTGCTAGAATCAACCCACCCGCGCCTGCAACATGGCTTCATCCGAGAGGTCGCAATCGGGTACCCGATACCCGTACCCTACCCGTACCCGGCCGGGTATGAGTACGCCCAGGTACGGGTACGGCCGGGTACGGGTACCCGTTTGCGACCCTGGTGCGGCCGGGTACGGGTAAGGAATCAAAACCCGTTTGTGACCTCTGGTGGCCAGCACTAAGCCCGACCGCCTTTGTCTCCCCAGTGGCGATGTTTACTACACTACACCACTGCACCAGGTACTCGTTTGAGGCTGAGTCGACCTGCGGGGAGGCCCAGGAACCAGTTCGGATAATCGCTATCACTGGTGTTGGTGGCCTTGAGCGGGAAGTGAACTCGGGGTCGCCAGGATCGTGGCATTAACCACGACACCACCGCTCCCTACACACTCACACACAGCTCACTCACTCACATTCACAGATCACTCACTCACACTCACAGCTCACTCACTCACACTCACACACACAGCTCACTCACTCACACACACAGCTCACTCACACACACACACATCTCACTCACTCACACACACAGCTCACTCACTTACACTCACACACACATCTCACTCACTCACACACACAGCTCATCACACTCACACACACAGCTCATTCACTCACACTCACACACATCTCACTCACTCACACACACAGCTCACTCACTCACTCACACACACACACAACTCACTCACTCACACTCACACACACAACTCACTCACTCACACACACAGCTCACTCACACTCACACACACAACTCACTCACTCACACACACAGCTCACACACACAGCTCACTCACTCACACACACATCTCACTCACTCACACTCACACAAAACTCACTCACACTCACATCGTCGGTGACTGCGGATGCGAGATTTCCTGAGCCTGTTCCGTTCTCTGGAGAAGAAAGTTACCAATAGAAAAAAAAATATCACAATCCAGTTTGGTGGTCGTACTGCAGTTGGTGTGAGCACGGAACCGAGATACATGGCGTCATCTGGTCCAACACCACGTGAGACTAGGCTCTAAGGAAAGCTGTCTCGGGTGTGGACCAATCAACTTCAAGGACAGTGCCTACATTATCAGAGTTATGTTTTTTGTTTGCATTATGACTGCAGGTATCGTGGTCTATGCAAACATGACTCCTTGTAAAAAAGTTGTCAGTTTTGTTGCCAGATAGAAGGGTAAAAAAACAATTATCATATTTTTACTGGCAAATGAGGTTCCAATGGTGTAAATGCTTTACCCCGAGCTCTCATACTCTGATGGTGCATTGTCTTTGAGTTGTGCGCCTTTTGGCGTCATCTGGTCCAACACCATGTGAGACTAGGCTCTAAGGAAAGCTGTCTCGGGTGTGGACCAATCAACTTCAAGGACAGTGCATACATTATCAGAGTTGTGTTTTTTGTTTGCATTATGACTGCAGGTATTGTGGTCTATGTAAACATGACTCCTCGTAAAAAGGTGTCAGTTTTGTTGCCAGATAGAAGGGTAAAAAACCAATTATCATATTTTTACTGGCAAATGAGGTTCCAATGGTGGAACAATAACTTAATTTACCGCAGAGACCATATACCCCATATGGAGACTCTTAGATACCCATATAGAGACCCATATAGATACAGAGAGATACATCGAGACTGATAGTGGTGGTGGTGATAGTGGAGGTGGTATTGATCGTGGTGGTAGTGAAAGTGGCAGTGATGATGGTCTTAGTGGTGGTGGTGATGGTAGTGATAGTGGTTATAGTGGTGATGGTAGTGCCAGTGATGGTAGTGCCAGTGATGGTGGCGCTAGTTGTGATAGTGGCGATAGTTGTGATAGTGGTGATAGTAGAAAGTGGTGATGATACCGATTGTGGTGATGGTAGTGATGGTGGTGATGGTAGTGATAGTAGTGATGGTGGTGATGGTAGTGATAGTGGTGGTGATGGTAGTGATGGTGGTGATGGTGGTGATAGTGGTGATGGTGGTGATGGTGGTGATAGTGGTGATGGTGGTGATGGTACTGATTGTGATGGTAGTGATAGTAGTGATGGTGGTGATGGTAGTGATGGTGGTGATGGTAGTGATAGTAGTGATAGTAGTGATGGTGGTGATGGTAGTGATAGTGGTTATAATGGTGGTGATGGTAGTGATGGTAGTGATGGTAGTGATAGTAGTAATGGTGGTGATGGTGGTGATAGTAGTGATGGTGGTGATGGTAGTGATAGTGGTCATGGCAGTAATGGTGATGGTAGTGATGGTGGTGATGGTAGTGATAGTAGTGATAGTAGTGATGGTGGTGATGGTAGTGATAGTGGTTATAATGGTGGTGATGGTAGTGATGGTGGTGATGGTAGTGATAGTGGTTATAATGGTGGTGATGGTAGTGATGGTGGTGATGGTAGTGATAGTAGTAATGGTGGTGATGGTGGTGATAGTAGTGATGGTGGTGATGGTAGTGATAGTGGTCATGGCAGTAATGGTGATGGTAGTGATGGTGGTGATGGTGATAGTAGTGATGGTGGTGATGGTAGTAATGGTAGTGATGGTAGTAATGGTAGTAATGGTAGTAATGGTAGTGATAGTAGTGATGGTAGTGATGGTGGTGATAGTGGCGATAGTGGTGATGGTAGTGATGGTAGTGATAGTAGTAATGGTGGTGATGGTAGTGATGGTGGTGATGGTGGTGATGGTACCGTGCACTCGGGAGCCATCCAGCGCCTCCACGTAGATGATGAACATGCAGGGGTGGGACTTGAGGTCGACGCCGCACTCACGGAATTTCATTGTCCCCGCGGCTTCCCACGTGTGCTTGTCTTTTACACACGCAGTGGACGTGGTGATGGTGGCGGTGATGGTGGTGGTGGTGATGATGGTGGTGATGGTGGTGGTGATGGTGGTGGTGATGATGATGGTGGCAGTGGTGGCGGTGATGGTGGTGGTGATGGTGATGATGATGGTGGCAGTGATGGTGGTGGTGGCGGTGATGGTGGTGATGGCGGTGATGGTGGTGGTGGTGGTGATGGCGGTGATGGTGGTGGTGGTGATGGCGGTGATGGTGGTGGTGATGGTGGTGATGATGGTGGTGATGATGGTGGTGATGGTGGTGGTGATGATGATGGTGGCAGTGATGGTGGTGATGGTGGCGGTGATGGTGGTGGTGGTGATGGCGGTGATGGTGGTGGTGGTGGTGATGGTGGTGATGGTGGTGGTGATGGCGGTGATGGTGGTGATGGTGGCAGTGATGGTGGCGGTGGTGGTGATGGTGGTGGTGATGGTGATGGTGGTGGTGATGGCGGTGATGGTGGTGATGGTGGCGGCAGTGATGGTGGTGATGGTGGCGGTGATGGTGGTGATGGTGGTGGTGATGGTGGCGGCAGTGATGATGGTGGTGATGGTGGTGGTGATGGCGGCGGCAGTGATGGTGGTGATGGCGACGGTGATGGTGGCGGCGGTGATGGTGGTGATGGTGGCAGTGATGGTGGCGGTGGCGGCAGTGATGGTGGTGATGGTGGCAGTGATGGTGGCAGTGATGGTGATGGTGACGGTGGTGATGGTGGTGGCAGAGATGGTGGCAGTGATGGTGGTGACGGTGGTGATGGTGGCAGTGGTGGTGACGGTGATGGTGGTGATGGCGGCAGTGATGGTGGTGATGGTGGTGGTGATGGTGGTGACGGTGGTGGTGATGGTGGTGACGGTGGTGATGGCGGTGATGGCGGTGATGGTGGTGGTGATGGTGGCGGTGATGGTGGCGGTGATGGTGGCGGTGATGGTGGTGATGGTGGTGATGGTGGTGACGGCGGTGATGGTGGTGGTGATGGTGGTGATGGTGGTGATGGTGGGGGTGGTGGTGATGGTGGCGGTGATGGCGGCGGTGATGGTGGTGATAGTGGCGGTGATGGTGGCGGTGATGGTGGCAGTGATGGTGGCGGTGATGGTGGCGGTGATGGTGGCAGTGATGGTGGCGGTGATGGTGGTGATGGCGGCAGTGATGGCGGCGGTGACGGTGGTGATGGTGATGGTTGCGGTGAAATCCGCCAGGTCAAGAAACACAACACGGTGGCTACATGTTGACTACCTTGCCTGGTACACAGGAGGTCGTGGATTCAATCCTGGACCCTGCGAGATGTTAACTCCCTCGCCTAATATGAAGGTTGTGGGTTCGTTCCCGGACCCTGCGAGATGTTAACTACCTCACCTGATGTGCAAGAGGTCGTGGATTCAATCCCGGACCCTGCGAGATGTTAATTCCCTCGCCTGCTAGGCAGCAGGTCATGGGTTTGATCCCGTGACTCTGACGATGCCTGCAGTTATATATATTTGGAGTCTGCGTCTCTCTCTCCCCGTGGATTTTTCTCCGAGTCCTCCAGTTTTTCCCCCCTCCACATTTTGAGAAATCGACGCCACTACGCGTTTATTTGGCTGCTGCTGCTATGAATTTCCACGTTAGAGTTATAATTTGTGATTAGCCAGGTGGTCGCGAGCTACACAACTCAGTGGGTCCTTACACCTGTGAAAATTCCGTCACAGTTCCTATGATCGCTGTTTCATTGCTTTCATGGCTTTATTTTGGTGATTTCGAAAAATGTATTGGTTTAGCCAGCCATGTTTGTTTGTTATAGTACAGAGTTAGACTGATGGCCTTAATCTAAGTTGTCTTATGGTTGTTGTTGTTGTTTGACTTGCATCCCACTGGATTTATGCACACAGCGTTGGTGTACGGTGATTTTTTTCTGCAATATTTTGCTGTCTTTTCTTGGATTTTCTGTTTGCACTTCGTCACATATTCACTTTAAGATGTTTTTGTTCATGTTTTTGTTTTTTGTTTGTTGCGGTTGCACCCGATTCAAGAGCCGAATGGCTCACAGGGCTACACCTAATCAATGAACTTGAACTTGGTAAAATAATAATAGTTTAACAGCAGGTCTGCTTTTCGATTAAAAGCTTTCGTGACTGCAGGGATTCATCTTCTTGGTTCTTTCGGTAAAGTCATCACGTAGAATGGAAATAATAAAATAATAAAAATATCTCTGCATTTCCAATAAATATGCTAAATTCCTCTTGATATGCAAATTATTTTGTCAAGGCGCTCTTCCCCCCTCCATCCCAGCTTAAATAGTCGCTCCAAGCCTGGGGTGTGTCATTCAGACTCTGTCTTCTCGACAGACCTGTTCTCCACCTGAGGACGGCTGCTTGCGTTGTGGCCGAAACGTCGTGAGAAATATTTTATTATTTCCATTCTACGTGACGACTTTACCAAAAGAACCAAGAAGAAGGAGGTCTGCCATCCGGCATTTTACCGTCCTGAATGAACGGTACACATGTGTATGTATGTTGAACTCCTTTGGCACCAAATCGGAGGTGTGTGGGCCAGTTGTGTGGGTAAGTGTGTGAGTGAATGGGTGGTTGAGTGGGTGGTTGAGTGGGTGAATAGATGGAAGAGTGTGTGGGTGCCGGGAAAAGTCCTGGCAAGGATTATTCAACATCGCCTTGCTAGGCACGCTGAGGAGAGGCTTGCGAAGACTCAATGTGGTTTCAGGAAAGAGCGGTCCTGCACAGATGCCATATTTTCTGTCCGTCTGCTACAGCAGAGGTGTAGAGAATTCCAACAAGACCTACATCTCTCCTTTATTGACCTGGTCAAGGCCTATGATACCATCAATAGGCCTGGGCTGTGGGTTGATCTTCATGTTTTCGGAGTCCCTGACCCTCTGCTCACGATCATTAAGGACCTTCATGATGGTGAGCGGGCCCGGGTAAAACTACGTGGCCGGGAGTCTGAGCCTTTCCCTGTACACCTTGGGGTGCGACAGGGATGTCCTCTGGCTCCCATATTATTTAACATCTATTTTGACCACGTAGTTCGTGAAGCCTTCAATAGCTGTACCGGAGGAATTTCCATTTGGTACAGATATAATGGGAGGCTGATTGATGCCCGGGTGCTGTCAAGGGATGGCTCCCTATTGCTCAACCACGTTATGTATGCCGATGATCTGGTGATTGCTGCTCACTCAGAGGAAGAGTTTGAGGCACTGCTGCTGAACCTGGAGCTTGCCACCAAGAGGTGGGGCCTTACCATCAGCCCCACCAAAAACTAAGCACCTGCCTGGGTATTTTGTACCATCGGACACTCCGCCCCCACAATTCCCAATTGGAGATAGGGCAGTTGTGGAGAAGTGGAGAGTTTCCCATACCTTGGCAGTGTGCTCATGACCGGCTCCGATTTAGCAGCAGAGGTCTCACTCTGAATCAGTCGAGCAGCATTATCTTTTTATCGGTTGCGTAACGCTGTGTGGAAGCTACCTGGTCTGTCGCTCCGCACGAAGCTTCAGGTCTTCTCGGCCACGGTCATTCCCTCCCTTCTCTACGCTTGCGAAACGTGGACCCCCGTAATGGAACATCTTTGCCGATTAGAAACATTTAGGCTGGCCTGCCTACGATCCATCCTGGGTTTAACCAGGCTGGATTGTGTGAGCTCACAAATCCTTGAAAGTGTATAGTTGTGTGGTATATGGTGTAGTGTATAGTAGTGTAGTTTATAGTAGTGTATAGTGTACAGTAGTGTATAGTGTCCGGTAAGATTTTGCTACAATCTCTCTACCCCCTCCCCCCTCTTCTCCCATGAATGAGGGAGACTCGTTGACAATTTATCTTCGCCGTGGGAGCCATCGACTCTCGTCAGAGGGATACACGGGAAGACGCTCAAACTGTCCGTGACGAAGGGCTTCAGATTGTCTTCGTTTGCCAGAACCACTCTGATCGCTACCTGCAGTCACAAACAACACACGCACAGAGACAGACACACAGAGACACAGACACAGAGACACACACACAGACACACACAGAGACACAGAGACACACACAGAGACACAGACACAAACAGAGACACACAGAGATACACACAGAGACACACACAGACACACAGAGACAGACACACACAGAGATACACACAGAGACACACACAGAGACACACACAGAGACACACAGAGAGAAGTATACTAGATTTGTGTTTCTATTTCATTTATACCTGATGATGATCGCTTGTGTTGCAATCGAAACGTCGTGAGAATTGTATAATGTTTTATGTTTATTGTTTTATTATTTCCCTTCTACGTGACTTTACCGAAAGAACCAAGAATATGAATCCCTGAAGTCACGAAAGCTTTCAATCAAAACAATAATCCGACATACTTAATTTGGAGCTTTCGTGACTCTCTCTCTCAAATTTAGCATTCTCAGGAAGAACGTAATCAACCAGGCAGGGTGTTGACTGTTATGTTATCTGACTCTCTGTTGTATTACATTACATTTCTAAGTATACTAGATTTGTGTTTCTATTTCATTTATACCTGATGATGATTGCTTGTGTTGCAATCGAAACGTCGTGAGAATTGTATTATGTTTTATGTTTATTATTTTGTTATTTCCCTTCTACCTGACTTTACCGAAAGAACCAAGAATATGAATCCCTGAAGTCACGAAAGCTTTCAATCAAAACAACAATAATCCGAGTTTCTGTGAACGCCCTGAAGGACCCACTCTCACCTCCAGTTCGTCCTGGATGTGCGGTTTGGCTTTGAGTGCAGCCCAGTGATCTCTGTTTTGGTCATGGGTTAAACACGCAACGCACACGCAACACACACACACATTTACAATCGTCACTGCATAGATGTTTGTGGTTGTTCGAGTCCAATTGGTTGAGCTGATGTTAATGTGTGGTGATGACCAGGGTAGCTTGTGAAACAGGGCTATACAGAGTAGCTCAGTAAGATAAAAGTGCTTTAGTTTTAGTATGGATATCTACGTACCGATATGGGTCTCTATGTATGCCTGTACATTTAAAGTTATACTGGTAGGAATCTCCTGGTTACACCAGCCCATAGGGGATTATTGTGTCAGTCGTGCAGGGAGGGGCTGGGTGGGGTGGGGAGGGTGGGGAGGGTGGGGAGGGTGGGGCTAGGGTGGGGAGGGGAGGGTTTGGGAGGGGCTGGGTGGTGAGGGTGGGGAGGGGCTGGGTGGGGAGGGGCTGAGTGGAGAGGGTGGGGCTGGGTGGGGAGGGGCTGGTCACCCCGTGGTGCCCTTATAAAACTCAACGTTTCACCTACTCACGTCGGCCATATTTGCGGAATACACCACGCCGCCGTTGATCCGGGCCATTGACCGAGCAACCCAACGTTCCTACCAGCTCCCTCCGCAGGAATGTGATTTGCTGCTGCTATAAATTCCCACGTGATGATGATGATGATAACATCAGCCACTTGATTAAGCTGCTATCATTGCGTGTGATGACTGGGTCGCTTCTGATTAAGAGTTACACAGAGTAGCTCAGAAGTGCATTACACCTGGAAATAATGAAATAGTTTAGTTTATACTCTTTGGTTCTTTCGGTAAAGTCACGTAAGTAGAAAATAAAATGAAAATAAAATTAAAATTTGAAATAATTTTTTTTTCCATCTACGTGACTTTACCGAAAGAACCAAAGAGTTTAGCTCCTTGCAGTCCTGTGTTCATACGTTGACTCTGCTGTGTTTGAGGAGGCCGTTAAGCTACATTGCATTTGTTTTAACTTGGCTGTTTCAGGACAAATGTGAAAAATAATGTAAACAAACATTAACACGTATAATAAAGAGTATATTCTTCCTTTTTTTTTCATGGTTCTTTCGGTAAAGTCATCACGTAGAAGGGAAATAATAAAATAATAAAAACAAAACATAATAAAATAATTCTCACGACAGGTCTGTCGGAAAGACAGCGTCTGAATGAAACACCACCAAGCTTGGCAGCGTATATTTAAGCTGGGTTAGAGGGAAAAGAGCGCCTTGACAAAGGAATTTGCATATCAAGAGGAATTAGCATATTTATGGGAAATGCAGATATGGGATTAGTCACTACTTGTGTTCTTCACCTGAGGACGGCTGTTTGCGTTGTGGCCGAAACGTCGTGAGAATTGTATTATTTTACGATGTTCTAGTTTCATTATTTTATTATTTATTTTATTATTAAATAATAAAAATAAAACATATAAAAAACTATTGTATTTTATTATGTTTTATTATTTTATTATTTCCCTTCTACGTGATAACTTTACCGAAAGAACCAAGAAGATGAATCCCTGCAGTCACGAGTATATTAATTAAGAAAAAAAATAGAGGAGAGGTCTCGAATCCCCCCCTCACCCACCACCCGGCAGAGGTCGCAAACAGATTTTGATTCCTTATCCGTACCCGGCCGCACCAGGGTCGCAAACAGGTACCGGGTAGGGTACGGGTACAGGTACCCGATTGCGACCTCTGGGATGAAGCCACATTGCAGGCGATGGTGGGTTGATTCTAGGAACGTGAATTGTGAGAAGAGACAAGACGTTGGGGAAATGAGTGACAAACGGTGACTCACCAGTGACTCACGGCCTACCCGTACCCGGCCGCACCAGGGTCGCAAACGGGTACCCGTACCCGGCTGGGTACGGGTAGCCGGGTATCGGGTAGGGTACGGGTATCAGGTACCCGGTTGTGACCTCTGCCACCCGGGGGTTATCCGGCATCACCTGCTGGCGAGGCCGTACTGCAGCTTGACCTTGCAGATGATGGTGCCATCCACGACCAAGAGTCGCGTCTCTGGGCTGGGGAAGGAGAACGCTTGCAACGGCATCCCCCTACACACACCGATACGAAGACAAAGGTCCCCCGCTTAGCCTGTAACAGACTATCTAGTGGCGGGGAGGAAAACACCGGCACTGTGGCACGCACAGAGACGGTGGCTGGCCAGCATCAGAGATACACGGAGATACACACAACAACAACAACCGCCATTCGCCACTAAGTGGCGGTGATGTCACCACGACGCTTGTGCCAGGCCATGTGCACGTTGAGGCCACGTGAAGTGTCGAATGCCTGCTGGCAGGTCACGGGGCAGACCCAGGTGCCACGGGTCGATTGAGATGAGTGGCTGATGCACCACCTGTGCCCCCTCCTGTGCTAACTTGTTGTGCTTTAGCCACCCGGCGATCTGCTCGTTGTTGTGAGCGTCGCTCCTCCCCCCTCTGTTGTTGTTGGAGGGCGACTGCCTGCAACTGCCCAGTAGCGTCCTTCACGAGCCTCCTCCACAGAGGCCGATCTTGACACCGCTGGTACCAGTCATCGGCAAGTCCACTCAGCTCCACGTCTTCCTGTACCACGTCACTCCATCTCTTCTCTAGCCCGTGCCGTGCCCGTTTAGCCCCCTCGATCCGGCCGAACAAAAGGTGTTTAGGTGGCTGGGCATGCGGGCTACGTGACCCAGCCAACGCAGCTTTGCCTGCCGGAGGAGCTCACCGATGGGACTTTGTCCAGATCTTTCAAGGATATGTGAGCTCCTCACACAATCCACCCTGGTTAAACCCAGGATGGATCGTAGGCAGGCCAGCCTAAATGTTTCTAACCGGTCGAAGATGCTCCATTAGGGGGGGTCCACGTTTCACAAGCGTAGAGAAGGGAGGGAATGACCGTGACCGAGATGACCCGAAGCTTCGTGCGGAGCGACAGACCAGGTAGCTTCCACACAGCGTTACGCAACCGATGAAAAGATATTGCTGCTCGACTGATTCAGAGTGAGACATCTGCTGCTAAACTGGAGCCGGTCATGAGCACACTGCCCAGGTATGGGAAACTCTCCACTCTCTCCACAACTGCCCTATCACCTATGGGGAACTGAGGGGTGGGGTGTTTGGTGGCACTAAATACCTAGGCAGGTGCTTAGTTTTGGTGGGGCACACAGATACACACAGAGATACATACACACAGATTCACAGACACACAGAGATGTATACATATGTAATAAACCCACTCCGGACGATATCGTATTTTCGTGTCTTGTCTCTCATATCGCTGGGTTCCTTTCTCACGTTACCCCCGTTACCCCCGTTACCCCAGCGTGGCGTTCACTCGCTTCCCTCGCTCCCTCACACCGTTGGCTAACGGCGTTCGGGAGACAGCCAGCGGCCACGTGGCAGGCCGGAGGCACAGACGTGGTCCCTCCTCAAACCTCTCCACACTGACCACGCGCTGTCTCTCTCCACCCCTTATAACACCTGGTTGCTCACGTGATGCCACGCAGCCAATCATCAGCCTCAGCCCTGGAACCTTCTAGATGTTCATCTTCTCGGTTCTTTCGGTAAAGTCACGTAGAAGGGAAGTAATAAAATAATAAAAATAAAACATAATACAATAATTCGCACGACAATTGGTTTTTTACCCTTCTATCTGGCAACAAAACTGGCACCTTTTTACAAGGAGTCATGTTTGCATAGACCGCAATACCTGCAGTCATAATACAAACAAAAAACATAACTCTGATAATGTGCACTGTCAGAGTTATGTTTTTCATCTTAAGATGTTTCTTGTTCGCGTTTTTGTTTTTTGTTTGTTGCATTTGCACCCGATTCAAGAGCCGAATGGCTCACAGGGCTATAACTAATAAATGAACTGAACTAAATGAACTGAAACATCCACCCACCCAACTTACCCACCTACTCACTCACCTACTCACTCATCTACTCACCTACTCACTCACCTACTCACCTACTCATTCACCTACACACTCACCTACTCACTCACCTACTCACCCACCCTCCTCCGATTCGCAGGGTTGGCTACGTACGGTGCCAAAGAAGTTCAACAAACATACAAACATCCACCCAACTTACCCACCTACTCACTCACTCACTCACCTACTCAACCACCCACACACCTACAATTAACACGGTTGGCTACGTACGGCGCCAGAGTACTTCAACATATGCACAATGAAAACCCTTAAAAGGCCGCGGTGGCTTTTTAAACCGCGGTAACGTCGCAAGCGGATAGACGGCACGTGGCAGAGGTCGCAACCGGGTACCCGATACCCGTACCCTACCCGATACCCGTACCCGGCCGGGTATGGGTACAGGTATCCGTTTGCGACCCTGGTGCGGCTGGGTACGGGTAGGCCGTGAGTCACTGGTGAGTAACTGTTTGTCACTCATTTCCCAACGTCTTATCTCTTCTCACAATTCAAGTTCCTAGAATCAACCCACCCGCGCCTGCAACGTGGCTTCATCCCAGAGGTCGCAATCGGGTACCCGATACCCGTACCCTACCCGGCCGGCTACGGGTAGGGGTACGGCCGGGTACGGGTACCCGTTTGCGACCCTGGTGCGGCCATGTACGGGTAAGGATTCAAAACCCGTTTGCGACCTCTGCCGTGCGAAAAATTCCCGAATGCCGAGTGGTCGCTTTCAATGCCCGCTTTTTTTCGTCCGCTGTCCGCAGGGCACGCTGCCGGTCCACTCTCAAGTCTGCGGCAACCACCAATACAGAGCCAAAAGCGGTTTCTGTTGCAAGCTCTGTCCCGCAGGTAACCAGATGGACGGGATGGACAGGGTGGGGGGGGTAGTCCTGACATATTCTCTCAACCTATTTTATATTTCGATTTAAAGCTTTCGTGACTGCAGGGATTCATCTTCTTGGTTCTTTCGGTAAAGTCATCGCGTAGAATTCAGACTGTCTTCTCGACAGACCTGTTCTTTTAATTCTAGATGTGAAGCTTTCGTGACTGCAAGGATTCATACTCTTAGTTCTTTCGGTAAAGTCACGTAGGTAAAAAATGAAATTAAAATAAATAGAAAATAAAATAATAAAAATCACGACGTTTCGGAGGCAACACAAGTCTCCGTCATCAAGTGGGACCGTCACAGCCAGATTTGCTGCATCAAGTGAGGCAAGGATTCAAGCTCTTAAATGTATTTAAGAGCTGGCATCTTGAATCCCTGATCTTCACCTGAGGACGACTGCTTGCATTGTGGCCGAAACGTCGTGAGAATTATTTTATTATGTTTAATTTTCATTGCAAGCTCTTAAATGTATTTAAGAGCTTACATCTTGAATCCCTGATCTTCACCTGAGGACGGCTGCTTGCGTTGTGGCCGAAACGTCGTGAGAATTATTTAATGTTTTATTTTTATTATTTTATTATTTCCATTCTACGTGACTTTACCGACAGAACCAAGAAGACTATTTTATATTCTACCAGCAGTAACTAATTTCACCAGCAGTAACTAATTGGAACGTTTTGTAACCCCTGCCTAAATTGGCTGTGTCTGGCAATGGCGGTAGTGACGGCTAGCTGGCTTAACGAAAAACACGCAACATTTATATGAAATGGGACCTTTTTTTGCCAGTATCAATGTATGAACAAATAAGAATATGTTTTATCCTTTCTGGCAATACAACAGGAGGTGTTAAGATGTTCAAGCAACAAATTGAAACCTTTTCATTTTTCGCGGGTAATGTTATTGGCTCTGCAAAAGCCTCGATTGCAACACAAGCAATCATCATCAGGTATAAATGAAATAGAAACACAAATCTAGTATACTTAGAAATGTAATGTAATACAACAGAGAGTCGGATAACATAACAGTCCACACCCTACCTGGTTGATTACGTTCTTCCTGAGAATGCTACATTTGAGAGAGAGATAAAACACAGAACCAGAGACATAGACAGACATATAAGTAGAGACAGATAAGTAGAGACATATGTCTGTCTATATGTCTCTGGTTCTGATGACGATTGCTTGTGTTGCAATCGAAACGTCGTATGCTAGTATTTAATTTAGTATTTTCTCTTTATACGTGACTTTACCGAAAGAACCAAAGAGTAATTCTTGCAATCACGAAAGCTCCAAATTAAGTTTCTACAAAGGCCTTTTCAATTAATTTACCTGAAAATAAATACCTAAATAAGCTATTAAATATACGTGAAAATTATCTCACCACTTTGCCTCACTCTCATCAACGTGTCTCTCATCAATTTCTCTCTCCGTCTCCCATCACTTTCTCTCTCATCACCACTTCATTTTATCACTCTATATCTCACAACGCACACGCTCACCCCAATGGGGACAAGGGTTAAAAACGCAACCGTTAACGTAACGTGCATTCCCATTTTTCTGCTTTCTCTCCCCCCTCCTTCCCATCTCCCCAGGTAGGTTCCTGGAAAAAGAATGCCCCACGCAAGGAAGCACGTCCATCTGCGAAGCTTGTCCCGCCGGTTTCTTTACGGCGATCGACAACTACTCTGAAAAATGCTTCAAATGCCAGCCCTGCGAATCAGGTGATTCACAACCATTCCTTCCGCCGAAACTGAGCCTTGTGGCAATTATGTAGGGAGCATCAACAGTGGCTAAGAGATGTTAACTACCTCGCCTGGTATGGAGGAGGTCGTGGGTTCGATACCGACCCTGCGAGAAGTTGTCCCTCGCCTGGTATCAGAGGTCGCAACCGGGTACCCGATACCCGTACCCTACCCGATACCCGTACCCTACCCGATACCCGGCTACCCGTACCCGGTCGGGTACGGGTACCCGTTTGCGACCCTGGTGCGGCCGGGTACGGGTACAGGTAGACCGTGAGTCACTGGTGAGTAACTGTTGTCACTCATTTCCCAACGTCTTGTCTCTTCTCACAATTCAAGTTCCTAGAATATCAACCCACCCGCGCCTGCAACATGGCTTTGTCCCAGAGGTCGCAATCAGGTACCCGATACCCGTACCCTACCCGTACCCAGCCGGGTATGGGTAGGGTACGGGTACGGCCGGGTACGGGTACCCGTTTGCGACCCTGGTGCGGCCGGGTACGGATACAGGTAAGGAATCAAAACCCGTTTGCGACCTCTGCCTGGTATGCAGGAGGTCGTGAGTTCGACCCCGACCCTGACGCCTGCTGCTGTGTATTTGTGGAGTTTGCACGTCTTCATTTCTCCCCGTGGTGGTCGCGTGGATTTTTTTCCGGGACCTCCAGTTTTTCCCCTCCACGTTTAGAATCAATGTCACGCGTGTAAGATGAAGTTAGTTGTACAGTCGACCCTTCTGCATCGCGACTTTCCCCATCGCGGTTTCGATATATCGCGGGGTCGGCACGAGAAATAAAATGGGATTTTTTTTTTGAGTTTTGCGAAAGCCGCAGACGACACACAAAAAGTGTAGTAACTCAGAAATGCATAAAATCTATGTACAGTACTGTATAAAATTGATGCATGTTATATTTGAACACCATAAATTTCCAGACAAAAATGTATAGTTACATTTTGTATAAAGTTTAAGTTTGCGAAAAGAACGCGAAAGCCAGCAGACGACACGCAAAAAGCTAACAGCGCCCCCCCCCCCCCCCCCCGGAGGTGCAAACAAAAAGAAACAACTCTGATAATGCATATCATTATCAGAGTTGTTTCTTTTTGTTTGCATTTTGACTGCTTGTGTTGCGGTTATTGCAAACATGATGCCTTGTATAAAGGTGTCAGTTTTGTACCAGTTGAAAGGGTAAAAACCTACTACTATATTTTGCATTTTGACTGCTTGTGTTGCGGTTATTGCAAACATGATGCCTTGTATAAAGGTGTCAGTTTTGTACCAGTTTAAAAACCTACAACTATATTTTGCCACTGGTAAAGGAGGTCTCATTGAGGCCATAGAAACCCGTTCTGTTGAAACCAGTGGCGGCTCCTGCAAAATCTCTCAGGGGGGGCAAATGTCTGGATGATTGATAAGGATAAGGTCCACCCATGCAATGAATAAATTAACAGCTTAAGCATGTAAAGGCAACTTCACTTCTTTAATATTAATGAAAAATAAAGTGACTCTTACAATACATCTTGTTTGTTTATATACTCACTATTAAAACAAACCACTCAAGTTTATTTTATTAAAGATTCCACTCGGTAGCGATAAATTATATTGTTGACTGAAACGTGCTTACGTATGATGACGTTAGCACGTATGATGACGTAAGCACGTTGGGGCTTGCCCTCCCGGAGCCATAGAGAATGCATTGGAGCGCCCCCGTTCGAAAAAAAACATCTTTCAATGTAAGTCTATGGGGCCACTTGGGGCGATTCTCAGCCGGAGTGAAATCGCCCCAAAAGAGGCGGTACTCCACAGAACGTGACATGACGCTGATTGGACTATATCCAGAGGCTGACAGTGACGGCTAGCGTGACTGTGGTTGAATGACATTGGTGGTGCGTCGCCCAATCGCCCTAATGAAGAAACCGCCCCTGGTTGAAACTGTCCCAAGTGTCCAGCGATCGTTGGTCACCTTTGCTGCGATGTTAGGCAATACCCCGATGCTGTGCTGTCAAATATCTTTTAAAAAACCAAAGTGCTTACCGTACCACGTCGTCGTCCACTCATTGACATGCTAATTTTTTCTCTGCCCCCTCCCTCTCTCCGCCCCCGCCCCCTCTCTATATTTAAGGCCTCGTCACAGAAACGACCTCTCTCTTTCTGCCGATACGTGTTCTCTCTCTGTGTGTCTTTGTGATGTCTGTCTGCTTGTGTGTCTGTCTATAGTTTTCTGGTTAGATTTTTGTTGCTATTTCTTTTATACCTGATGATGATTGCTTGTGTTGCAATCGAAACGTCGTAGTATGCTATTATTTAATTTATTATTTTATCTTTATACGTGACTTAACCGAAAGAACCAAAGAATAATTCCTGCAGTCAAGAAAGCTCCAAAATTGAGATTGAACTCATTTCCCACTTTTATGTCTCCAATTTTGACCGATTTTAAACAAGAAAAAACCCACGTGTGGTTAAAATAAACACTGTGCGGCTGTTGAGGGGAAGAAGCAAATACTGAATGGACAGATTCCCCCGTGACCGGTCTTGGGCCGCTGCTTGAGGAGACGTCCCTCCTTGTCATCGTCGTCCGATCTTCGGACAAAAAAAAAACTCCGATTGAGCAGATTTTGTCTTTTCAATTTAAAGCTTTCGTGACTGCAGGGATTCATCTTCTTGGTTCTTTCGGTAAAGTTATCACATAGAAGGGAAATAATAAAATAAAAAAATACAAATGTTTTTTTAAAATAAAATAAAACATTTATTCTAAAATGTTTAGTTTAAAAACAATAGTTGTTGTATTAAGTGTTTTGTTTACATTGTAAAGCGAGTTAAATAGTTATAATATTTAGTTAAAATTTCACTTTGTTGTGAGGTAAATAGCAGGAATGTGCAGTACTGTAATGTACTAATAAGTTAATAACTTAGTTAGCTTGCCTGGTATGATAATAAAGACAAATAGTTGCGTGGTTAAGTGATTTGTTTACATTATAAAGCGACTAAATTATTATTATTTAGATTTAAAGCTTTCGTGACTGCAGGGATTCATCTTCTTGGTTCTTTCGGTAAAGTCACGTAGAAGGGAAATAATAAAATAATAAAAATAAAACATAAAATACAATTCTCACGACGTTTCGGCCACAACGTAAGCAGTCGTCAAGGCGCCCTTCCTCCCCTAACCCAGCTTAAATATACGCTGCCAAGCTTGGTGGTGTTCATTCAGACGCTGTCTTTCCGACAGACCTGTTCTTCACCTGAGGACGGCTGCTTGCGTTGTGGCCGAAACGTCGTGGGAATTGTATTTTATTACATTTGATTTTTATTATTTTATTATTTCCCTTCTACGTGATGACTTTACCGAAAGAACCAAGAAGACACATTTTATCCGTTAAATCCGAGAACCGTTGAATGATCCGCTGAACCGAGGGTTTACTTTATCTCACAATTCCCGTCGTGAGGAGAAAAAAATCTATCGTTATAGAACAACGGGCTGCAATGACAACGACGATGACGGTGGTGGTGGCGGCGATGTTGTCAAACCCCCTGCTCCCCTCCTTTTTGCTTTCTTTCCCCACCGTCCACAGACGAGGTGGAAGTAAGTCCGTGCAGCGCATCTTCAGACAGGGTCTGCACGTGTATGCCGGAATTCTACAAACCGGAGGGTGAACACTTTTGCAGGCCACAGGCCACCACCGCAGGTATGCGCATACGCACGGAGGACTTCTTTCTCACCGTACGTAGCCAACCACGCTAATTGGAGGTATGTGGGTGAGTGGGTGGGTGGGTGAGAAATTTGGGTAGGTGACTGGATATATGTAGAACTTCTTTCGCACTGTACATAGCCAACCGGCTCACCCCAAAAACACGTATCAACCCCCGAATAGGGCCACTGTGGCTAGGAGATGTAAACTCCGATTTAAAGCTTTCGTAACTGCAGGGATTCATCTTCTTGGTTCTTTCGGTAAAGTCACGTAGAAGGGAAGTAATAAAATAATAAAAATAAAACATAATAAAATAATTCTCACGACGTTTCGGCCACAATGCAAGCAGCCGTCCTCAGGAGGTGAAGACCAGGTCTGTCGGGAAGACAGCGTCTTCAGAAGCTGTCTCCCCGACAGACCTGGTCTTCACCTGAGAACGGCTGCTTGCGTTGTGGCCGAAACGTCGTGAGAAATATTTTTATATGTTTTATTTTTATTATTTTATTACTTCCCTTCTACGTGACTTTACCGAAAAAACCAAGAAGATGTAAACTCGCTTGCCTGGTATACAGGAGGTCGTGGGTTCATACGCTGGTGCAGCCCCAACAATGACCGATTCACAAATGGCCCCTCCTTTTTAAACGGGCGTGTTTTTCTGTGCATGTGTGCGTGCGTTTTTCACAGATGTCCCAGCATCTGATGGATCCACCCTTCCGATTGCCATCGGCGGTGCTATTGGCGGCGTGTGTCTTTTAGTCGCAGCACTGATTTGTTTTTTCCTGATGAGGAAACGCCGGCGACGCGGTAAGTACCTCCCAATTTGTGCGGTTGGCTATGTACGGTGCAAAAGAAGTTCAATATACATACTACACTGCTATACATTACACTATACAATAAACCACTATACACTGTTAAATTTCGATTTAAAACTTTCGTGACTGCAGGGATTCACCTTCTTGGTTCTTTCGGTAAAGTCACGTAGAATGGAAATAATAAAATAATAAAAATAAAACATAATAAAATAATTCTCACGACGTTTCGGCCACAAAGCAAGCAGCTGTCCTCAGGTGAAGAACAGGTCTGTCGAGAAGACAGAGTCTGAATGACTATACACTGCACTGCTACACACTAAACTACTATACACACTACACTATACAGTACACTACACTAGACATTAAACGATACACTACGAGTCTGCGCAGACTTGTCGCAAGTCGCCTCGGTGTCGGTAGCAGTCGTTAATCGTTTGTGGATACGAGTTTTTGTCGTTACTGTGGGGGGTTTAACTGACTCAGAAAGGTCATAAAAGTCGGGGCTCACCTGTATACTAAATTGAAAGCTAATTTCTTTAGAACTGATTTTTGTTGTTGCGTTTAGTTAGTTGTTCTTCCCCCGCACCGCCGATTAGCGCGGCTGGCTATGCACGGTGCCAAAGAAGTCCAACATGCACACGTAAAAAAATGTTCTGACCCCGTACCCCATACTGGACATCTTTGAAAAAGTACTTCATAGCTCATCGGATTTCTCCAGGATGGAAAAATGATTTCCGATTCCAGGGATTCTGAAATGCCCTTTCTCTTCCTCTTGTTTATCCACAGCCATTCCAGTAAGTTGCAATATTCAGATGGAAAATGTATCCGCGAGCAAGCGAGACAACATTGTCAACAACCAAGCACAGCATGAGCCGCTCCTTCACAATGTCGTTTGCAATGGGACCGTCAGTCAGTTGGTAAGCAATCCAGCGATTCCCCTATTGCGCCTGCATGAGAATCAAGCAGAGGTCGCAAACGGGTTTTGATTCCTTACCCGTACCCGGCCGCACCAGGGTCGCAAACGGGTACCCGTACCCGGCCGTACCCGTACCCTACCCGTACCCGGCCGGGTACGGGTACGGGTAGGGTACGGGTATCGGGTACCTGATTGTGACCTCTGGGATGAAGCCATGTTGCAGGCGCGGGTGGGTTGATTCTAGGAACTTGAATTGTGAGAAGAGACAAGACGTTGGGAAATGAGTGACAAACGGTGACTCGCCAGTGACTCACGGCCTACCCGTACCCGGCCGCACCAGGGTCGCAAACGGGTATCCGTACCCGTATCCGGCCGGGTACGGGTAGCCGGGTATCGGGTAGGGTACGGGTATCGGGTACCCGGTTGCGACCTCTGGAATACAGGTAGTCTCCGACTTACGATAGAGATGCGTTACGACGACCCCATCGTAAGTCGAAAATATCGTAAGTCGAAAATGGCCTAGCCTACCCAGGAGTCTTAAAGAATGGTGATAATTTAGCAAAACAGAGCAATTTACAGTACCGTACTGTATAAACTATATGTATTTATTAATTACAATATTGTATTGCACAGTAAAATGTAAAGTAAAAAAAACAACGTAAATTCTTAGCCTACCTATATGAACTGCAATTTCATAGAAAGTTTTTTTAGGAAACAATCCTATCTGCTATAAAAAAAACGTTTAACATGCATTGAACGTATCATATCGTGGTAACCTTAAAATGAAATTATTAAAGCTACGTATCATACATGCATTCAACGTATCGTAACGTATCATATTGTACTGTACTCACCAAGATTCGCACTAACACTAAGACAACTTAACTCCGTCGACCGCTGGTGAGAGTGAGAGGCATCACACAAGGCGGAAGATGCGTGCAGTACATCCCGGCAGCGTCCCAACGTACAGTATCGTACCTCGTACGCCGCTGCTGCGTTTGACTGCCGCGCAAAATGTAAAATATTTCACAATCTTGTCGTATCACTATCGCCATCGTAAGATCGAAATATCGTAAGTCGGACCATCGTTAAGTCAGGGACTACCTGTATGCGTTTCCCTCGTCACGTGCAACATTTCTCTCGTTATAACGCGACGAGGGATAACATTCCGCAGACGGGTCGTGAATGTCAAATTTTAGCGATGATCTTTATTGGCTCTACGGAGAAAACTCTACATCTTCGCAATGAATTACCTAGAATTAAATCTAGATTTGAAGCTTTCGTGACTGCAAGCATTCATACTCTTAGTTTTTACGATAAAGTCACGTAGGTAAAAAATGAAATAAAAATTAATAAAAATAAAATAATAAAAATCACGACGTTTCGGAGGCAACACAAGTCTCCGTCATCAGGTGGGACCGTCACAGACAGATTTGCTGTATCAAGTAAATCTGGCTGTGACGGTGAGTACTGTTAAACGCTGGGGATGTCAACACTCGGTAAAGTAGAATAGTACCTGTCAAATAAGATGGTCCAAATATGCGTAGTTAAATCTTTTTTAAATGGTTAATAAGATCTTTCCAATGATTACTCAGTTTGTACCCATCATCACGGTTGAAGTTATGTTGTTTTTATTTTGGTTGCCTTGCCCTAATCTTGCATTCATGGTTGAACGACCGGCAGCAATGTATGCACTTATGCAATTTGTCCTTTACACCATTGGAACCTCATTTGCCAGTAAAAATATGATAATTGGTTTTTTACCCTTCTATCTGTATCTATCTTGTAAAAAAAGGCGTCAGTTTTGTTGCCAGATAGATGGGTAAAACACCAATTATCATATTTTTACTGGCAAATGAGGTTCCAATGGTGTAAATGCTTACCCTGAGCTCTCATACTCTGATGGTGCATTGTCTTTGAGTTGTGCGCCTTTTGGCGTCATCTGGTCCAACCCATGTGAGACTAGGCTCTAAGGAAAGCTGTCTCGGGTGTGAAGCAATCAACTTCAAGGACAGTGCATACATTATCAGAGTAATGTTTTTTGTTTGCATTATGACTGCAGGTATTGTGGTCTATGTAAACATGACTCCTTGTAAAAAAGGTGTCAGTTTTGTTGCCAGATAAAAGGGTAAAAAAACAATTATCAATTTGTCCTTGTTTATGTTATTTACTGTTTGTTGACTTGATTACCATTTACGATAATTTGCACTCCTATCAGTTTTTTTTGTGTTTGTCGTTGTAACTTGCTGACCCCCGCCACGGTGGCTAGGGAGATGTTAACTACCTCGCCTGGTATGGAAGAGGTTGTGGGTTCTATCACCTGACCCTGACGATGCCTGCTGCTGTTTATGTCAAGTCTGCATCTCCATCTCTCTCCCCATGGTGGTCGCGTGGATTTTTTGTTTCTTGCCTTCCCCATTCACGGGGGGGGGGGGACCTCAACAACGTCCTTCATCATCACTTGAAGTGACACGCAAGGCACTTTTTGGACCTGCGTGCTGGTAACCTTCAACAACGAAGCTTGGAAAGCTAAAAGGAGTTCAAAAGAACTCGGATAAAACGCATCCTTGTGAAAGACCTGATGCAGAAAATTCCCAGGGTTTTGATCTCCCAAGAAGCTGATCATGGTCCACACCCCTAAACGGCATAATCCAATTGCACAAACCACAACATTAGAAGATGACGCGGATACCCGATGCACAAATGGAAGATTAAAAACTCTCCAGTGGTAGTGTGGCTACCGTTGGTCATCCAGAGCAGGGAGCGTAGTACAATATTTGATGACGCAATAACGCCCCGATCCACAAATACGAAGTTAGACATCATCATGGTGATGATAATACTACAGTGATACCTCGGTTCACGAACTTAATTCGTGAACTGACTCTGGTCCTGAACTGAATTGGTCGTGAACCGAGGCACATTTTCCCATAGGGTTCAATGTAAATCCGGTTAATCCGTTCTGACCTTTTTTTTTGGTTTTTGAAGCACAAAAATATGAAACAAATTACAATACACATTAGTACTGTACAGTATAGTAATGTATAAAGACAGAACACTAACCTTGCTTGAGATGACTTCAGTAAGCACTCAAACGGGTGAACTGTACAATACAGTAAGTACAGTATTGTACAGTACAGTAGTACAGTACAGTACTGTATGTGCTAAAAAGCACACCAAAAAGCAAAAAGTCACTGAAAGTGTCTTCACAGTACTCACAGTACTTCTTTCTGTGTCTCTTCTTCTCTTCACGATCTTCCTACAGGAAGTCACGACCATGTGACAGCCTGGAAATAGCATTAAAATGGCCGCAGCTCCTGTTCGTGAACCGAAGCGGAGTTCGTGAACCGGAGCATATTTTTATGAACTTTTCTGTTCGTGAACCGAGTTGTTCGTGAACAGAAGCGTTCGTGAACCGAGGTATCACTGTACTCCACTTGCTACTCCTGACGCGGTTATCTGCTGGGCTTGACCACCTGCATGTGACATTATTGTAGTCGTTTGTGTGCTTTGCATCTACACCGGCCGTACGACTCAAGATCGTCGCTTGTGCACCACTGTCTCCGATTAGTAAGAATGGTTCTGGCGATTTTCTCTGCATAGTTTCGATTTACCGCAGCTCTCGTACGTCGTTTTATCCCTCAGGTGCAACCAACTGACTATTCAAGATATAACATACCCGTCACAGGTAAGTAAAACAAATTTAACTTGACAGTTATTCCGTCGGTATTCGGAAAGAGACACGTTTTGGAGATGCTCGTGTGAAGAGCAAATTTCGCCGATGATGTTGGCTCGACGAATATCGTACGCGCAACAGCTGTCAGATGCCTTCTACTAAAGCTTTAGAGAAGTTCTCTCTCTCATCTCTTTTTCTGATGACTTTATTTAATCGCTTTAGCTCTCATCGCTTTATCTCTCGTCATTCTCTCTCTCTCATCACTTTCTCTTTCTCTCTTGATGCAGCAGTTCCAAATTCCATTCGCGGACGGCCAAAAAAAAATTGCGGATAGCCAAGTTCTCAACATTCGTTCCGGTCGTCTCAACCTCTTACCACCGGCCCCCCAACAAAAAAAGGCGGCCATTTTTTGACAATACTGTTTGTGGCAAGAGTTTCACCAACTCAAACGCATTTCCCCTTTACAGAGGAAGACCTCATGGAAATCCACAAGGCTCGAGCCGACAGCTCAGCGGTGGCCTTCGTGAACGTGATGAGGAACGCCGGTCTTTCGGAAACAGACGTTGAAAGGATCCAGCACGATTACAAAAACAACGTAGAGGAGCAAAACTACAAGATGTTGTACAAGTGGTTGCAGGTGAAGGGTAGGAAAGCCACATTTGCCGCCCTTCTAAAGGCTATGGATGAGTGCCGTTTGCACAAGCTGAGTGAGGACTGCCAGAAGAGGTTTGACGAAATACTAAAAAAATACGCCAAAAACGATGATGATGATGACGAAGATGGTTAAAAGGGTGCGGTGTATTTCACAGAATAAACTAAACAAGAGAAAACACAAACTGGCATCTCTCTTTAGCTGTGAAGCTGAACCAAAGCACCATTTTGCAGTGGGTGTGTTACGTGGTGTTGGAGGGAAAAAAAGCGGAGGACCCACGAGGAAAAAATCCATGCGACCACCACGGGGTGAGAGACACGCATTCAAAATATATACCAGCAGGCGTCAGGGGGTCGACCTCTTGCATACCAGGCAAGGTAGTTAACGTCTCCCAGCCACCGCGTCTTGAGGCCGCAGTTTACACGAGCTACTTACCATTGTGGTGGTAGAGCAACGGGGCTAAACTGTACTGATGAGCCGTAATGAAGGTGAAACCGGTATGAGCACCGTTGCACATCGGAGCAACATGTAGGAGGCTTTCGCGACAAATATAATTCGTAATAAAGGAGTTTTTCATGGGTTAGATGGCGTAAATATAAATGTGGTCTCGTTAAAACACAGCCGCCACCACCCGACAGCCAATCGGTAAGGGGTTAGTTGTGTCAACACAATTCTGGCAAATTTCCCAATGAAGCTGTTGGTTGTTGTAATGACTGGTGAAACGTCACACACCAGCTGACTCGAATTGTAAAAAGTTGTTGTGCGTTTACTACTCTCCAACACACACAACAACCGGTTTAGTGCACCAAACTAAGTAAACTAAATTGAATGCCTTTGTGTTGATTGGTGGTGGCGGTAGTAGGTTCAACGGCACGCATTTATATTTAACACAATCTAATCCAAAAAATATATACCTTCACTATGCAGGAATATATTTGTGTCGCCGAAACTGCAATGGGCGTGCACAGGTTAGCAAGTCGCACGCGCGGATGCAGGCGTGCGGGTGGGATTGACCCTGGGCAGTCCCTCCACCATCATTCCCATCAGGGGCAGTTATAAAATGAGGCGTACTTTATGGAAAATTCAGCGAAAGTACTTGCGTACGTTGACCTTCTTTGGGTATCGTATGTAGTCAACCACGCTAATCGGGAGGTGGCGGGCGGGCGGGCGGACAGGGACAAACCGACCTTTTAGCAGGATGTCACGTTGATCGATTTCCAGCAGAACATTGCACAAAATTGTTCCAAAAAAAATGTAAACCTCGCTAATTCAACATTCCAGTTTTACAGAAACAGATTTTTTTTTTATAATCGATTTTTCATATTTGCCCCAGTGACAACTTGGATTTGATTGGCCACGATTGGTCTAAGGACACGTGCACGTTGAACTTCTTTGGCGGCGTATGGAGCCAAACCGTGCTAAAAATAGGGAAAAACTACAAACACGAAGAGCAGGTCTAAAGCTCTACCCGAAACAAACGTTCAATATGACGATTCCAAAACTGGAGTTGTATAAATCGGTGCCATGCAGCTTATTGCGGCCCCAATGTGCATCCGGTCTGCAGTTGCCATGTTGCCTCACTGCCACAACATTTGAGGTCAAAACATTCTCCCCCTTTTAAAATCTGGGAACTCGGAGAGGGGTAACCGGTGTGAGTGGCCCGGAGATGTTAACTGCCTCGCCTGAAATACAGGAGGTCCCTGCGGGTTCGATCCCGACCCTGACGATGATACTCTTAGGTTTTTTCGGTAAAGTCACGTAGGTAAAAAATAAAATTAAAAGTTAATAAAAGCCAGATTTGCTGTATCAATACATATCAATACATCAATATCAATACATAAATACAGCAAATCTGGCTGTGACGGTCCCACCTGATGACGGAGACTTGTGTTTTATTTTTTACCTACGTGACTTTACCGAAAAAACCTAAGAGTATGAATCCTTGCAGTCACGAAAGCTTCAAATCCTGACGATGATGCCTGTTGCTGTATATTTAGTGAGAGGTTACCTCCCTCGCCTGGTATGCATGAGATCGTGGGTTTGATCCCGTGACCCTGATGATGCCTGCTGCTGCTGTTGTATATGTGGAGCCTGTGCGTTTCTCTCTCTCCCTGTGGTGGTTACTGCGTGGATATTTTTTCTTCCGGTTTTCCTCTTCCACGTTTAGAATCAACATCTCTGCGAGTTTAATAAGAGCATTTGGCTGCTACTCTGAATATCCACTCGAGGATAAGCCACTTGGTTGAGTTATCCTTTGTGATGGCTGGGTCACTACTGAAAAAAAGTCACGTAGCTCAGTTGGAGGGCGGGGAGCCTTAAACGTTAAAAAATGTTTATAGTTTTAGGTTTGACTTTCATGCCTTCCTATTAAGTGGCAGTGGACGATGTCACCGTTTGCGAGCACAAAAGCCGCCTCAAATATTTAACCCCACACTTTTTCTCCCGGTCCCATTACGATGACGTACGTCATATAACTTTTATCAGTATACCGAGGGCTAGTCCCACAAGGACGACGCGACAGCGTGCATGTGCGCGCGTGTGGCACAGTTCTTGGCGCCGGCTATTGTTGTGTGACGGGGCGTTCCGTGCCACTACGCTTCTCTCTGCGGTGAGTAACAATGTCTTAGAAAACTAAATAAACTATTTATATTTTACTAACGCTATTTATATTTTAACACCGGAGCCCGCTGGCCAGTAGGGAGGGGCACGGGGGTCAGAAAGTTACAATAAACAATAAATACCCACACAGCCACCCTGCAAACTTGCAAGACGTCATCGGTAATGGGAAAGGGGGTTAAGTATTTTATGATTATCCGGGGCAAACGGATGCTGTGGTCCCTACCAAAGCTGAGGTTGCTGGCTTTGTCTTTGCAGCCGATTCTCCATGAGATGAGGGTTATATGGGAGGCAGGGGTAAAATGGGAGTTCGGCGATTAAAGAGTATTTGGATACTGCTGTAAATGCCCACGTGTTGATGATATCAGCCACTTCTCGTTGTTCTGCTATCATTTGTGATTGCCTAGTCGCTTCTGAATAAGAGCTACGTCATAACTCAGTGGGGCCCCACACCTGGTAAAATAACAAGATTAGTTGCATCATGGGACCTCCTTTGCCAGTACCAAAATATACTAATAGGGTTTTTCACCTTTTTTCTGGCAACAAAACTGACACCTTTTTGTTGCCAGAAAAAAGGGGCAAAACCCTATTAGTATATTTTGGTACTGGCAAAGGAGGTCCCATGATGTAGCTGCTCACCCCGAGCTCTCATTACTCTGGTAGTGCGTTGTCTTTGAACTGTGCGCCTTTTGGCGTCATCTGGTCGAACACCATATGAGACTAGGCTCTAAAGAAAGCTGTCTCTGGTGTGGACCAATCAGTTTCAAAGACAATGCATAAATGATCAGAGTATTGTATTTTGTTTGCATTTGACTGCAAGTATTGTGGTTAATGTAAGCATGATTCCTTGCAAAAGGTGTCAGTTTTGTTGCCATAAAAAAGGGGAAAAACCCTATTAGTAAGATTAGTTGCGTTTAATCCATGGGTCTCTAGGTATTTGGTTGCTGTAAATATTCACGTGGTGATGATTATATAAGCCACTTCTGGTTGATTGTCTATCATTTGTGATGGCCAGGGCGCTTCTGAAACCGTTAACTAAACATGTACAATAATCGAATACAGGGAAGCCCTCGCTTATCGCGCAATCGTGTGGAACACCGATTCGTTACGAGCGCTCTTTTGTCCTGGAGATTATTTAAACCAATGTTTAAGAAAATAAAAAACGAGAAAATAAAAAAATCTACAAAGCTCTTACGAACGAGGAAACGTCCCCCCCACCCCGGCCCCCATCATTCACTCAGCCAATGAGAGTGAGGCATGACTTCAGAGCCAACCAGAACCCCACTACCACCCCCACCACTATTTGATTATCACGATTTGTGGTAGCGATTATGTATTAGTACAGTTAGAATGCACATAAGAGTACAGTACATATGTAATAATAATGAAAACAATTCTTATTCATGAGATTAGTTTCCTACCTGTATTATTATTGGCACTTACCGATATCCCACATCGAAGCCCTCGTATACAAATCGCTTGTACGAGATAAATAACGCCAAGTTGGAACGCTATGCCCCACGTGCACAATGGATGCCACGGTGGCTGGGGAAATGTTAATTCCATCACCTGGTATGCAGGAAGTCGTGGGTTCGATCCCGTGACCCTGACACCTGCTGTATATTTGGAGTTTGCGTGTGTCTCTCTCCCCATGGTAGTCGCATGGATTTTTCTCCGGGTCCTCTGGGTTTTCCCTTCACATTTATAAACATGCGTTTCTAAGACTATTTGGCTACTGCAAATTTCCATGTGATGATAAGCCACATCGTTGAGCTGCTAGCGTTTCTTATGGCAGGTCGCTTCTGAAAAAGCTCGGTAGTGCCTTACTTGGTAAAATAAGAACTAGTTTATAGTTAAGTTTATAGCAACCCTGCCCCCCCCGCGGTAAGCGCCGATTTCAGTTAGCGCTCCCATCTCACGGGAACGATGAACGAATGCGTCGAGTAGCAGCACTAAGCGAGGTCTACTGAAGCTGCACAATTAATAAATAATGTCGTTGGAAACATGCTAATCCCCACACTCACAACGGTATAGTGACACCCTGTTAGTGCCGATCTCGGCTCGCGCTCACTTCTCCTGTAAGGAACAAACAGCTTTGCGAGTAGCGGTGCTAAGCGAGGTCTGCCTGTAATCCAGACATTTTTAAATCCTTTATATTAACTTCACTTGCTTGCGCGCTTACGACCGTGCAAATCTTTCGGTCGTTTTTTAACCCACTTCCCGTGATCCAATCGAGCTGACATTTTGCACATCGACTCGTTGTGCGTGACAATTTATTTTGGTAAAACATTTTTTCCAAAATTTTCCACTTTTTAGGAATGTTTTTTTTCATATTTAATTTAAAATACCAATGTGATAAAAATGAAACTCTTACTCAAGAAAAACAGAAATAAATAATAAAATAAAACCGATGCCACGCATATAAAGGATTTATAGTGAAAAACTTTGTTTTTACGGGTTAATTTTTTTATTATCCAAAAAAAAAAACCTCATCCGCGATATTTACATCGTAATTTATGTCAAAATCTGTGTGCGCCGGTTCATTCGCAAATCGGATCAACCGCACGCGCGGATAATCGAGAACCTAAATGTATTCTGTTTGAGAGCGATAATCCGATCGTGATGGATAAAACACGAACGCTTCACGTGATGTTCAATGTCTCATGATTTAAATGTCGCCAGATGCTCTCTAGAAGATGGTGATTGCTTGCGTGCAACATTTTAATTTTTTATCGCATCGTGTATCATATTCAGCAAGGCAAATGTTTTCCTGATAAGTTTTAACGAAGAGTATCACGTATTTTATATATGGGACGTATGTTTTACCAATATCAAAGTATGAAAAATAAAAACAGGTGTGGTTTTTACCTATGTCGGGCAATAATAAAACACGAGTTGGTGTTAAACACCAAAGACACACCTATTGCAAGGCATCAAAGTCTGCGTGAACCACACATCATGATTGTGGCAAAACATGCACACAAGGATGCTCTAAGACAAATAATAACTAGCCTTTTGCCCGTCCAAGGACGGGTTTATTTCAGTAAATCTGAAACTTGCAACCAAGACCGCGACGTGATATTCATTGCATCAATTCGTGTGCAATTTGTAAGGCCGCGGTGACACAGACTTATTTCATTTAAAGGTTATAATCCCTTGTTCATCATGACATCCTTTTTACTTCTATGTCTCAATAGCGTTACGGAGATCGCATGACGCGAGGGTTCTGCCTTTGTAGTGAGGGTTGTAAGTTGACGCTGAGGAGGGGGGAGGAGGCACCTCGCCCCCCCCCATGTGGAGTGACGTCACTCCACGTCGGCCAGCCCCCCTCATTAATAATCATGAACAGGTGACGTCCTCCACAGGTACCCCCGTCATTAATAATCATGAGCGGGTGAGGAGTGAAGTAATGTGTGGAACACACAAGACATCCTTGGCTCATCATAGTAGTCAATGATGCATGCGTTGTCTTTGAAACGAATTGGCCTAAACCAGACGGCATTGTCTCTGCACCACCTGTGTTAGTAGACGAGAGAACATCGCCAAAAAGGCGAACAGCACAAAGGCAGAACATGGACAGCTCGCGTTGAGCAAGTTATATCTAGAACTGTTTTATTGCCGGAAGGGAATAAAAACCTATTCTTATTCATCACATATTTATTCCAAAATCCACGCAAATGTCACATAAGCCTGTAGCCTACAGGTGCCAGTGGTAACCACTTCAGTTTCTTGCGTTGTGCTGTGATAAATGGGTGCCGCGGTGGTTGAGATGTTATCTCCCTCGCCTCGTATGCAGGTCGTGGGTTCGAAAACGACCCTGACGATGCCTGCTATTTGGAGTTTGCATGAACTCTCTCTTCCCCCCCGCCGTTGTGCGTGTGGCTTTTTTTCCCAGGCACCTCCGGTTTCCCCATCCACATTTTTGAAATCAACTCCTCTACACGTTTAATGTACATCAAATTTGCCACTTTCAATTTCCACGCAATAAGCCACTTGGTTGAGCCGTAATCATTACGTGATGGTGACCAGGTTGCTTCTGAAAAAGAGCTACATAGCTCAGTGGAGCCTTACCTGGTAAAATATAAAATAGTTCATAGTTGAAAAAAAAGTTAAATCTCCACATGATGAATTAATAATTTCGATTTCAAGCTTTCGTGACTGCAGGGATTCATCTTCTTGGTTCTTTCGGTAAAGTCACGTAGAAGGGAAATAATAAAATAATAAAAATAAAACATTATAAAATAATTCTCACGACGTTTCGGCCACAACGCAAGCAGCCGTCTTCAGGTGAAGAACAGGTCTGTCGGGAAGACAGCGTCTGAATGAAACACCCCAGGCTTGGAGCGTATATTTAAGCTGGGTTGGAGGGGGCAGAGCGCCTTGACAAAATAATTCACATGATGAATTAATAGTCCGAGATGTCGCACTGCCACCAGCCATCGAACTGGACACCTCGTTCATTTTCCGTTTCGTGGAGAAAGTGTCCCCAACATCTTCCGTAGAGTGTCCGGATATCGATTCGAGGAGGGCTAGATCTGGCAATGCCAATTGTGCACAAATCCTGGCTCAGATGAGGGGACAGTCGATGCACAGGCAATGTAAATCAAGCATACCTCTGAACCCATGCGGTTTACCCGTATTCTTGTACAGGGAAATTGAGTTTTCGGGTCCATACGGTGCACAGCTGTGCCGATACGGGCAAAAAAAGTGTCTGTTTAATTGTGTTTCTCCCTTGTGATGCGACTTTGTAGGATGAACGTTGAGATGTATAAAGGGCACGGGGTGACCAATAAGGTTTGAATTGGTCTATAATAACTGATAAGTGCTTCAATCTTGATTTGAAGCTTTCGTGACTGCAGGAATCCATACTCTTCTGTGCTTTCGGTAACGTCACGTAGGTATAAAATAAAATAAATCACGCTTGTTTTGCGCCCGAAACGTCGTGGTTTATTTTATTTTATACCTACGTGACTTTACCGAAAGAACCGAAGAGTATGATAAGTGCTTTTTTTTAGTTAGATGATTAGGACTATTTGGCCACTGCGAGATATTTCTATTTGAAGACTCCACTCGGCTGCGACCATTCAAGATAGCCACCTCGCTTCTGAAAAATGAGCTGTGTAGCTTAGTGGAGCCTTGCCTGGTAATACATATTATATATCGATAAGATGTTTTTTTTGTGTGTTGGATTAGATCACGTAAATATGTGTCCGATTGTAAATGTCGTAGCGGGTTTGCTCTCCAACACAACCGGTTAGTGCTGAACTAGTATACTACACTATAAACTAGTGCTGTAACTCGTAACTAATTGGCACGTTCTGTTTACGTGACAAACCCTTTACTAATTAGCTGTGTCGGGTTTAATATATGCATTTATATGTATGCGATTTAACCCAAAGAAACCCGCATTTATGGATAACATTAGTCTAGAAAGCCCTACTATGTGTTAAATAGATGTAACTCTTAGGTCACTAATGTATCTACGTAAGGAAATGTATAGCAGCAGCTAAACATTCTTATTGGTGCCGAGGAACTACTCCCCTGCTCTCTCCTCCCTGCAACCCACATTGAGTGATAGAACATTTTGGCTTGTGTGTGTATAGAGTTGTTGTAAACCCCTAGAATCATAGTTCATGATTGTCTCAATGCTGGATTTCTGATAGCCGTGTTAATTGTACGCCCTGTGTTTGTTTTATTAATGTTTTTAAAAATAAAGATTGCTTCATTAGTTGTTCAACTGTGGTTCACTCACGTGGGATGCTCCAGTTAGCGCGCGGTTGGCTGCATACTGTGCGAAAGAAGTTTTACGTATGTACAACATAATGCAGAGGGTTTTTTAGGTAAAATTCTGCAAATATAAATGTGTGTCATTAAACCCGCCATCACCCGACACAGCCAATTATTAAGGGGCTTGTCACATACAAAACGTGCCAACTAGTTACTAGTTCAGCACACCGATGTGTTGGAGAGTAAACCTACAATAATTGGAGTATGACACATTTATATTTATGCAGTCTAACCCCGAAAAAAACCTCCCATGGATATTGGTCGTGAAAGCCTTCGTCTTAAACTACATAATGGTGGTGATGGTGGTGGTGATGATGATGAGGTGCCTGCATGATGAGAAAGTGGGGGATTCATCTTCTTGGTTCTTTCGGTAAAGTCACGTAGAAGGGAAATAATAAAATAATAAAAATACAACATAATAAAATAATTCTCACGACGTTTCGGCCACAATGCAAGCAGCCGTCCTCAGGTGAAGAACAGGTCTGTCGGGAAGACAGGTCTTCAACGCAAGCAGCCGTCCTCAGGTGAAGAAACGTTGTGAGAATTATTTAATATTTAATTTTTATTATTTCCCTTCTACGTGATTTTACCGAAAGAACCAAAAAGATGAATCCCTGCAGTCACGAAAGCTTTAAATAGAAGTGGAGGATGTTGACGGTGGTGATTTGTGATGGTTGTGATGGTGTTGGTGATGATGATGTGGCCGTCTGGAACGCTCTTCCAAAATTAGGAAGCCACTGGCAGCTATCATACACTTTTAAATAATCATCATCTAGATAGACAATTAATTTCTTTATAGGACTACCAACTACCAGGTAGTCCTCTACTTACGATGGGGATGCGTTACGACGACCCCATCGTAAGTCAAAAATATCGTAAGTCAAAGACGGCCTAGCCTACCCAGGAGTCTTAAAGAATGGTGATAATTTAGCAAAACAGAGCAATTTACAGTACCGTACTGTATAAACGATATACTGTATGTATTTATTAATTACAATACTGTATTGCACAGTAAAATGTAAAGTAAAAACAAGGTAAAATCTTAGCCTACCTATATGAACTGCAATTTAATAGAAAGTTTTTTTCAGGAAACAATCCTATCTGCATCACACAAGGCGGGAGATGCCTACATCCCGGCAGCGTCCCAACGTACAGTATCGTACCTCGTACGCTGCTGCTGCGTTTGCCTGCCGCGCGAAATTTAAAATATTTTACAATTTTGTCGTATCGCTATCGCCATCGTAAGATCGAAATATCGTAAGTCAGACCATCGTAACTCGGGGACTACCTGTACTCCGTAGCATTTCAACACTACCCATATAATCAACACTGCCCATAGACTCAATACTACCCATAGACTGAACACTACCCATAGAATCAACACTGCTCATAGACTCGACACCACCCATAGACTCATCACTACCCATAGACTGAACACTACCCATAGACTCAACACTGCCCATAGACTCAACACTGCACCATAGACTCATCACTACCCATAGAAATCAGCACTGCCCATAAACTCAGCACTGCCCTTAGACTTGTTGCGTTTAGTTTGTTGTCCTTCCCACGCACTTCCCGATTTGCGCGGTTGGCTACGTACGGTGCAAAATAAGTTAATTGTACGTACATGATAGTGGTGGTGGTGGTGATGATGATGGTGGTGGTGGCGGTGATGTTAATGATGTGACCGTCTGGAACGCTATTCCCATCCGATATTATGAAACCGCTGGGGAGCTTTGATGCACTTTTAAATCATCATCTAGGCCTGACAAACTAATTTATCTAGAACTCATAATATAGGTTTTTTTGCGTCAGATCGCGTTATTTATAAATGTGTCGTAACCCTCCACCACCCGACACGGCCAAACAGTAAAAAATGTGTCACGTTTTTCACAGGACAAAATAAATAACTTTTTTAGCCCACCGGTGTGCTGAAGAGAGAATCAACAGCAGTTGAAAATTTTAGTGCGACGTTTCGCTGCTAATTACAATCAGCTTCATCGGGCAAAAATGGTGAAGCTCTCCTGTTGCTTCCGGTCTTAAATAGAGCAGCATCAGGGTGACGTCATCATTTAATTCAATTCAATCTGGTGCAGTGATTCGAGGCAATTATTCAATTGTTATTCATTGGTATTTGTTTCCCTTATAAGGAATTGTAATTGTATTTATTTAATAATACGCTTCCAGGCCGCACTAAGAGAACTGTTTGTTGTTGTGGTTAGTTACTTCACACAACTACGTATGGTGCCAAGCAAGTAAAGCAAAGGATACGTACATTAGTGGGTTAATGCTGTGTGGGTGAGTGGCTAACCATCAGGACAAAGACGGTGGTCACCGCATCGCGTGGCGCTTTCAGATGCGCTTCTGCGGACACCTGGAACGCTCCTCCAACATTATGAAGCCACTGGTGATATGCACTTTTACATCGTCATCTAAGATTGACAAACTAATTTCTTTAGAACTGCTTATTGTTGTTGTTGTGTTTAGTTTGTGGTCCTTCACCCGCACCTCCGATTAGCACGGTTGGCTATGTACGGTACCAAAGATGTTCAACATACTTACACACATGGGTTGGTGAGTGGGTGGTTGGGTGAGTGGATGGGTGAGTGGGTAAATGAGTGGGTGAGTGGATAACCATCAGGACAAAGACAGTCACTGAATCATCGCGTGGCGCTTTCTGATGCGCTGCTTCTGCGGCCGTCTGGAATGCTCTTCCTTCCGGTATTAGGAAGCCACTTTTACATCATCTAGATTGAAAACTAATTTCTTGCAGCAGCAGCAGCAACTGCAGCAGCAGCAACTGCAGCAGCAGCAGAAACTGCAGCAGCAGCAGCAACTGCTGCAGCAGCAGTAACTGCAGCTCCCTTTGATGCTGTTAATCCTGCATAATGCACATGCATATGCAGTACTAATCACATTCCTGCATTTCCCATAAATATGCTAAATTCCTTTTGATATGCAAATTCCTTTGTCAATGCGCCCAGCTTATATATATGCTCCAAGCTCGTGTGCTGTTTCATTCAGACTCTGTCGCCTCGACGGACCTGGTTTTCACCTGAGGACGGCTGCTTGCGTTGTGGCCGAAACGTCGTGAGAATTGTTTTATTATGTTTTATTTTTATTATTTTATTACTTCCCTTCTACGTGACTTTACCGAAAGAACCAAGAAGATGAATCCCTGCAGTCACGAAAGCTTTAAATCGAAATTCTTTATGATTAGTTACATATGGTGTAAAAGTACAAAATACGTACGTACCATACTAAATGAGTGTGGTGCAGTGGTGTGAATAAACATCGCCACTGGGGGAGACAAAGGCGGCCGTGCGTGGTGCTGGCCACCCACCCCCTCGTGTGCCGGTCCGACCTTCATTGGGCGTTGCCACTCACAGCACGTGCCCCTACTGTATAAGGCTACACGGGTAATCGTTTGTCTTTGTGCAAGTCTATGGCGTATCTACACTGCCCTCTGCTGCCTACGATCGGGATAAACAGGTTTGAAATTAAATACAACTAAGCAGGTAAGGCCCCACTGAACTAAACAGCTTCTTTATCAGAAGCGACCTGGCCCAGAGGCGTAGTTAGGATATTTTGCGCCCGGGGACGAACTATAAAATTGGTGCCCCCCCCTCCCCCCGTTTAATCACATTTTCCTATTACATCGAATAAGGAATAACAATTTAAATTTTAATGAAACATTGTATTTAAAGAAGCAAATTTATAGAAATTATATTACATGGCTCACTCAGTCACTGTCGTAGACTGGTTGATATAGTCTACAAAAGATTAATTTTTCTTGATTTCACTGTCGCAAACTGGTCAATCACGTAATAAAAATCTGTTTTTTCCAATGTTTCTCTTTCAACGCTAAGAAGAGCAAGATCGCTGAGACGATCTTGTCCCATTGAAGCACGCAAATACGACAAAATAAGTTTCAATTTGCTGAACGACCGCTCACAGCTTGCAATTGAAACTGCTATTGTTCATAAAATTTGCAGTGAAATTCGCAAATTCGGAAATATGTCGTCTCCATAAAACACAATAAAACCAAGAAGATCCAAAGGAGTTTCTGGTAGAACTTTATTCCGGTTATTGAGCAGCATTTTGCAATCTCCAATTTCTGTGAAAAGTTCGTGGCCATTGATGTCGGTGTCATACAAATTTCCAAAATCTGTGCAATTTCGACGAATTGCATCGACATCTGTGTCGGATAGAAGAGTTTTGACGTCCAGCAAAAATCAAAATTTTGTGTTCAGGTTTTTTAGTCGTAAAAACCGTGTTGACATCTCCTGTTGAAGTCGATAAAATACGCTCTTCAAAACGCGCACAATTTCTTCTTCTGCTGAAAGTCCTGCATCTCTTGCCAGTTCTCCTGGCATCTTCCGACGTCGCCTAATTCTTCTGTCCACATCGATCCCCTAGGCTGTGCATCTTGTTTTGGCGTTTTCTACAGCAACTTGGCTCAAATCATCACGAAGCTTGACAAATTCATGCTCCAAAGATTCAAGATCAGTTGCTGCTTCCTTGAAATTCATAGTAGGATCCTGTAAGCGCTTCTGAACACGATCAATTTTTCCAAGAATGACATTCCAGAAATGTAATAAAACTATGAAGTTAAAATTTAATACGCATGCCTGTAACTGTTCTGCATCACTTCTGGTTTCAGGCGTCATAGTTACGTCCTCCGATAATTTGTCTAGCAGCCCTACTAGTTCATCCAGTCCTTCATAGATAGCTTTAACAGCGTCTGATCGTGCACTCCAGCGTGTTTCAGACTCCCGCTTTACTTTGATGGGCACAGCTTTTAATTAACTCTTCCCAACGAATTGTTGAACGATAGAAAAAATATATATACTTTCAACTGTTCCAAAAAATGTGACAAGTGGATCCTGTTTAGCTGAGTGTACTCCTGCTAAGTTTAAGCTGTGGTTGTCACAGTTG